ATACAAACTATTCCAAGCTCAGGAAACAAATAGAGAAAATGGAAGCATTAAAACTTGTGGTGTGATGACATTAATACTACAATGTAAATATACTCTGCATGAATACACAGAATTCAAGTAACATGCTTTCTGACTTGAATATAATGGGAGCTACTAACACATTCTCTGTTGACTTTAAGTTGGATACTTGTTTAACAAAAATTTCACTGAATTCATTAACACAATATTGTTGTAAAAAATAAAATAACAATAAAAATTCATACTTATATTTGCATTTTTGATACCAACAATGCAATTTTCTGTTTATTGCACACTACAAATTGTCTCCTATATACTGTTTTCAAAAGTAATTTGTAGTATTCATTTTTATTGTTCCTATTACTAAAGAGAGAAAATTGGCTTTTAGTGGTTAAGTGACTTGTCTAAGTATATTTATTTTGCAAAAGACTAAGTTATAACTCAAATTCAAATGTAACCTTCTACAAAAGCTTTGCCTTAACCACCATGAAATATTTCCAAATACTGTTGCTTTGAGAAAGTAGAGAAGTATGGTGATATTTTATTTGTACTGAAATGCGATTTTATTTGTATGTTAATAAATAAAGTTGCTTGGGAGTCAGAGCTAATAGCAAGCCATAGCACAGCTGGGCATTGGTGGCGCACGCCTTTAATCCCAGCTCTTGGGAGGCAGAGCTAGGCGGATCTCTGTGTGTTCAAGGATACAGCCAGCATGGAGACACATGCCTTTAATCTCAATACCAACCATTGAAGTCCTGGAGGTCTGTACAGACCGGCAGTGATGAGGAGGTCATGTGGTTGGGTTTACAACCAATGAGAAGGCAGAATAGAAAGTCAATAAAAAGCACAAACACACAGGAAGCAGGTCTCTTTCAGAGAGGTAGGACAACAGCAACAGTGAAGGGTAAGGTTTTTAGCTCTTAGCTATTGCTCTGACCTCTTGGCTTTCATCTCTGTATTGGCTCTGTGTTTCTTATTTAATAAAACGGTTACATCTACAGAGAAAGTACTGCATTAGCTGGGAGATTAGTCAGTTGACTGAGGTTCTATTTGCTGTATCATGAGGGGAATCACAAATAGCCAAGGCCTGGTTTCCAGAGTATTGTCCATGGACCCATGATCTAGACAACAAGCCCTAGAGGCGTATGGCTCTGACTCTTGAGAACTAGAAGCTTTTAGCTCCAAGATCTAGAGTTCAAAAATGTACAACTCTTTCTGTTCAAGTCAGAGGCTTCCTGCCCTGGTTCTTGACTGGCAGTGACCTGCACTCACTGAACAGTGACCCATAGATTTTAGCAGCTGGTGATGCTGGTGGGAGCTCATGGACTCGGACCTGTCAGCCAGGGAACAAGCATGGGATAGAATTAGGCCCTCTGAATATGGGTGACAGTTGTGTGGCTAGATATGTTTGGGGAGCCCCTGGCAGTGAGACCAGGACTTATTCCGGGTCATGAAATGGCTTTTTGGAACACACTCCCTAGGTTGGGATACCTTGCTCAGCCTTGACGCAGAGGGGAGGGGCTTGATCCTCCTTCAACTTAGTATGCCAGAATGTGTTGACTCCCCAAGGGAGGGTCTCTGAGGAGTGGATGGCAAGGCAATCAGGGTGGGGGGTTGGGGGAGGTTGGGAGGTGGGGTTGGGGGGGAGGGGATTGGGGATGTGGGGGACAGGACTAGTGGAGGGAGGGGGAACTGGGATTGATATGTAAATGAAAAAAACTTTTTAAAAAATAAATAAATTTAAAAAAAAACACATTTTCGTTATCTATTCAGCAGTTGATAGAAATCTAAGCTCTTTCCATCTATTCAGCAGTTGATAGAAATCTAAGCTCTTTCCATTTCCTGGCTTTTGTGAACAGAGCAGAATGAACCTGAATGGGCAGGTATCTCTAGAGTTTTAGAGAAACCTATGGAAACCCTATGCCCCAAACAGAATACCTTTTTCATTTTCTGAACAGTATGTTCTACTATCTTGGCCCATTTAACAGTCAAAAATCAAAGAAAATTTTAAATATGAAATAGCTCCAGCAAAATAAAAGGTAAAAATCTCAAGAAAAATGGATTGATGATAAATTCTATTCTAGGGGAAATATTAGTTTCATATTAAATTTAATGTAAATAAAATTTTGTTGATGAATCAATAAAAAAAGTTCAACTTGAAAATATGTTTACAATATAGAAAGTGTAATTTTGGGCTGTGAAGCTCTTGGATCCCCTGAGCCCAAGAGGAGGGCATCAAACAGCTCACTTTGTCCTGATGGCTAAGCCTGCCTGAAGCAAGCTGTTCAGGGCTGATTACTGCTGTGTGAATGTAGATATGCCCAGGGCTGATAACCCAGAATGACAGCCCTCCAAGTCACCCCACCCCCACACAAAAGCCTTCTCCAGGAAAAATCATTCATTTTACAACTTTTCTAACCTGTGATGAAAGAATGAGTCAAAACAGCAAACAATGTCCTTTAAAAATTGCAAGTTCCTTCTGCCATCAATATTTAACTTTTATTCTAGTCATTTCAGATCTTTGAAGGCAATTTTCCTGTAGTTATATTTGAACATGTGTGCATTACTTTAATTTTTTTAATTAAATAATTTCCTTCTTGTGCTTTCTCTTTAACCTATATGTATGTGATCAGTTCTGGGTTTTTACATAACAAATTAATATTCCTTTATGTACCTCGCTCACTCACTGAACACAGTTTTTGACCATATATTCTTTCTGTGGGATCTGCCAAGCATTATGTTTTTTTAAGATTTTTTAAAATTTTGAGATTATGCTTATAACCTTTCTCCCTTCCCTTTTCTCACTCCAAACCCTCCCATATATCCCTGACAGCTCATCTTCAAATTAATGATTTCTTTTTTCATTAATTGTTGTTATATGCACATTTGCATATACATATTTATACCTTAATATAGCCTGCTCATTCTGTATGATATTATTTGTGTGTATATTTTCTGGGAAGACTATTTTCCCCACTCTCAACATTCCTTAGTAGTTTGTAATTCTTTGTGTAGGGTGGAGGCCTCGTAGGCTTTCCAGTTTACTTTGCCATGTCTATTGATGTCATTCTTGTGCATCTCATATTTAGGCAGTCATGAGGGTCAGACTTTTTGGTTTTGTCAAATATATTTCAGTTTATTTCCTTCTCTTGTATATGTTCCCCTTGGATTTTGTTGATTGTTTTGACTGTGCAGAGGCTTTTCAAGTTGCTGTGCCACTTGTCTTTTGTGGTTCCTGCTTTTTTTTTTTTTTTTCAGTCTCAAGAAGTCATTACTTAGACAAATTTCATGAAACTCCTGCATATTTTCTTCTAGGAGTTTTATATGGTTTTAATCTATTCAAATAAAAATTGATAGGAAAGACAAAGGCACCAGTTTAGTAAATATGTTATATCATATTGCTAAGGAACCTCTGCATATTGATGTGATTAATTTATATTAATTGTATAGGCTTCTGAAAGTTATATAGTCTCAATTTTATGTGTGAAAACATAATAAATGGACTGGAATACAAAGTTTCATCTTGCAGTTATGGCTTTGAGGTATTCAAATAATAAGTCAAGACCATACCAATATGAATGTCATGACATTCTGCTCCTCCTTGCTTTTAGTCAGTCTTCTCTTAATCCCTCAACATTTATGTTTGTGGTCTCTACTTTCTGGGTCCATCTCACAGTAAGTACAAAATATTTAGTAGCTTATAATCACACACACACACACACACACACACACACACACACACACACACACAGTGGCCCAATTGACTGGACTGGGTGTCATGAAAATAAAAATGTGTCTTTAATAGATAGTGCTGTGAAAATTGAATATTGACACAAAAACATAAAGAAATTTTATATATCCTAAATTATATTAAAATTCTGTTCATTATATGAATACTTAAGTATAATATAAAACTGTTGGAAAGCTTTGTGGCATGAGTTTTGACAATGATTCCTGAGATACAGGAAAAAAAGCATGAGCAATAAGAGCAAACAGGATGAAGTTGGGGCTGGTTAACACCTTTGTGCTTTGTGATGGAGTATTAAACACTGTATGGTCATTTTTTTTTTAATTTTCTTTAGTAAAGTAACCTAAAGGAACTATACTTTGGAAAGAAGTTCTGCCCCTTAAGTATATGTAAAACAGTGTGGTTTCTGCCTCATATCATAGGCATGTTTAAACATGCTGTGAATAATTTATATATATTTCCAAACAATAATTATTGTTTCATTAACTTTAAAATATTGTTTTATTAACTTTAAAATAAACACATTCATACATCTTATTGTTCTGTACTTTCTACTTGAATGATTAAAGGTACTGCTAGATCATATTTTTTAAGAATCTAATCTATGAGGTCATAAATAAAATCTCCCAATTTTCAGAAAGACCCTGGAGCAAACGTTGAAATAGGTTATTAACTAAAAGGTAGTTAAATTCCTGAAGTTGGGTCTTGACAAAGCAGTTGGATTGTACTTCCTAGAAAGAGATCAGAACAAGAAAGTTATGTCCTCTCTGAATTCTCTCAGCCCTCCACTGTGGAGTCCAAGAAGGAGCAACCTGAAATTCCTTCCTAATTTATAAATTCTCTGACCTTACAAGATCTATTACTGAATAAAACACAACCCAATACAAACACTTGCCTTTCATCTGTCACTGTTTTTCTTTCATAATTTTGCATCTGAAAACTTTGCTTTCTTTTCTTTTTTAAATTCCTATTGAGGTCCTGAGAACCACAGCGCGCCCCCCCAAAAAACTGCTGAGTCACCTGTCTGTGGCTGTCAGCTGCTGCTTCAACTGAAACTGTCGCCTGGAGATAATGCAGATTGTCTACGCTTGGCGGGAGTCTAAAACTTTTTTCTCTTAGTCCTTGCCACATTCGTGTTTCCAGCATTCCTATTTGAGGTAGACTAAACATTCAAAGAACAATTGTTCTCTCTTAGCTACATTTCATCTAGCAAACTTTTAGACTTTGGGGAGCGATGGAGCACCCTCCAAAGGAAACTGTGAGTACAGATGAATTCTCATCCCTGATGCAATTAGAAAAGCTATCTCTCCTGAACTTTCTATTCCATCTTGACCGGGGTCGTTAAAAATTACACTTATTTGACTTTACAGTAGTAGAAAATTTTGATTTTAATTATTTTGTGAGTGTTTTACTTTTAAAAATAACTTTGTGTGTGTGTGTGTGTACGTGTAGTATAGCTTTTTTTAAAAAAATTAGGAACTTTTTATTCATTTTACATACCAATCACAGATACCCCTCTCCTCCCTTCTCCCACCCCTCCTACATTCCTCCCCCACCGACCCCTGATTTTCTCCTCCAACAAGGCAAGGTCTCCCATAGGGAATCCTCAGAGCCTGGTACATTCAGTAAGGCATGTCCAAGCCCCTCCTGCTGCATCAAGGCCATGCAAGGTATCCCACCATAGGTAGTAGGCTCCAAAAAGCCAGCTCATGCACTAGGGATGAATCCTGATCCTATGCCAGGAGGCCCCTTAAGTGGATCAAGCTACACAACTGCCTCGCTTATGCCTAGTCCAGTCCCATGGAGGTTCCATAGCTGTTGGTCTAAAGTTCATGAGTTCCCACTAGTTTGGTTTATAACCTAGAACTTTACACCTATATAATAATAAAAACTCAACAATTACTTGCTGAAGTCAGATATATCATATGGAAAACAACTAGGTAATTTGAAACCAAATAATGCCTTCAATAGTTTGTGTCTCTGTGGAATGACTTAAATTTATAGTCATCTCAGTAATTACTGGCCCTAGAAAACTATTTATGAAAAATAAAGAAACATTAAAATATAAACTCTGTATTGCATGTTTTAGATATAAGAAACAAAGGAATCAATACTCTATAGAAATGGCCTTATGGAAATTTTCCTGGATATTGTTACATACAACTGGTTTTCATTAAATTAAAACATAATTTTGTCTTGATAAGAATATAATTATTTTATACTCTAAAAACCAATTACTGAAACACTAATAATTTACAATTGTGACAAATGAGTAGAAACCAAGTGTATTTAGATTTTCTTTTACTTTTAGAATTTTTTTTAGTAAATCAAATAAGAGTACATAATACATAATCTATGCTTTTGAATAAGAAGAAAAATATTCACAGTGTGTGACTCATTAAATTAATTGCAAACTATCCCTGACTATTCCTTAAAGTTACAGTTGATCAACACTTATTAATGTTGTTTAACCTTTGAAAGGTATAAAATAGCATTTCCTTATTGTCTATCTGAAATTCTGTGCTGTTGTTTCATCAGTCCAAGTTTGTCCTTCCTATAGAATATTTTGGATGATTAAGAACTATTGATCTGAGCAATAGCTATTTATAGTTAAAAATTATACAGTTATATTACAGCCCCTCCAACAGTAAGAATTAACAGGTTTAACAAATATAAGCATAGACGTAATGTGGGTGAATGCCTTGGGATGTATAAGAAAGATAGAATTATAAATATGAGAAGTAGCAACAGAAGCATTATTTATTTTTCTTCTTATAATCTTTAATTGACATAGTAAACACATTCATCCATATTTTGGGATACAGAATAATATTTCAAAACACAGAGAGACTTTCTACCTTATAGGTTATGGAAAGCAGTGGACCAAAGGTTTTGGAAACAGCAGAAGAAATCCAGCATAGAAGACAGGAGGTGTTAGACCAATACCAGAGGTTCAAGCAACGTGTCGCTGAGAGGGGTCAGAAGCTTGAAGAGTCTTATCACTATCAAGTTTTCAGGAGAGATGCAGATGACCTGGAGAAATGGATCATGGAGAAGATGGAGACTGCAAAGGATAAGACCTATGAGCCCACGAATATACAGGTGACTTAGTGCCACAGATGTTCCCCCGACTGACCCTAAGTTCTCTAGAGAGTGAAATGGACTTTTCTTTATGTTAATGTTGAGGGATGAGTGTAAGCACAACCTGACTGTATGTATAGAATGAAGCCAAAATGGTGGAACGGGAAGTTTACAAATTTAGTTAAGAAAAAGGCTAACATTGCTCCTTCTTTGTAATGTTGGAAATATGAGACAGAAGAAAGAGAAAAGAAACCAAAAACTGACGGTATATCAGCTGTTGAAAATACAAACTCATACTGCATCACATTGACATCTCATTCAGAACTCGCATTCTTATAATTATATAGACGTCATAGAAAGATTAGACCATTTACTATCGACAAAAGTTCTACTTCTACGTGATCCCTGTCTTCTACTTCTTAACTTTCAGAATCTTATCTGCAAATAAGACTAATCTAAGTCAGCATTTTATGAGAGCTTACTAGACAAAATAGTGGCTGAAAGTTCAAGAAACTTTTGACATACCATGTGCTTTCAATATTGTGACACTAATGATGAAACAACTGATTTTCTTTAAGATAGTAAAAATCATTAGTGCTTCTAAAGCAATGGTTGTCCATTCTCTTCAGTAGTGGCGATTATTCTAGCTTTCCTCAAAATTGTTATTTAGTAGCTGTTAAGTTCAAATACAAGGTTGTAGGACAAGAAGTTTGGTGGAACGTTCTACATCTATCAGTTGCCATGTTGCATAGCAAGATCATAATTGGTGATTGGTATTGAGCAGGGAACAGTGCCATAAGATCTGGGTGATGCATGTGTGCAACAGCTTAATTCACATATGACAAGAGCAGAGCTTACTATGAACTTTTAATGGATAATTTCATTTTCTGCACAGTACTTTTTAAAAGAGAACTCAGTGACACCATGTATTACATGGTTTTATTCACATAGGAGTCTGTGGAGCCTTGAGTAGAATATTATTTTATTGATAATTTTCCAAAAGAAGTGCCAACAGAAAAGACTGACTGTGTGGCCTCTGGGGAGTTGTGTTCAGGTGTTCTACCTTGAGTATACCTTTGTTTGTTTCAGAATGGGATTGTTTCTGCTATGGCCAAGGGAAATTGCTGAGTACAGGTGGGGGAGTGGGAAGTCTGCTTAGAATTGAGAGGAGAAACAAAAGAGTACTTGGTGTTCCCGTGAGACTGCATTTCATTACTCATAAACTCTGATTTCTAAACTTCAGGGGAAGTATCAGAAGCATGAATCCTTTGTAGCAGAGGTACAAGTCAAATCAAGGGTGCTTCCTGAACTAGAAGAAATCAGGGAAGCCCGATTTACAGAAGATCATTTTGCCCATGATGACACCAAGGTAAATGAGTTGTAGGATCTTACAGTCAAGCCTCTAGTTGCTAATTGTGTTACTAGGGTTTCCGTGGATTGTGCTAGATAAATCTCAGTTTAGCTGCCTTAGAACAAGGGCTGAAAATGCTTGTTCTTTATTGAAATTGAGGCAGGAGAAATGACAGATCATCCTTGTGTTTCATAGGTGGAAAAAGATGATGGTGTAGAAATGTCATTTGTCAGTCCTTATACTTGTCTTTATGTCAAGATCAAGTCCACTTCAGCCTATCCCACATTTCTCAGATGAAATGACCTTTATAAAGACTCTTTCATAATTATTAATTCTGACTTCGAAGTGATGTCTTCCCATTTGAATCTTCTTTGCATTTTTCCCGTTTGCCAGTGAAAGTTTGCTTTTTTCAAATACACCCCATTTCTCACAGTATACCTTTCCATACGTTCCTTTCTATTTACAAAAAACAAAACAAAACCCCCCAAGTGCCTAATTTAGAAAAATTTCTTAGATGTCGAGACCTGAACATCATAGTTATTAAATAATCATTTACCACTGTGTGCCTATTCTTTTTTTAATTAATAAAGTTTTTATTCATTTTACATACCAATCACAGATCCCTCCTCTTCCCTCCTCCCACCCCTCCATCCTTCCCTCCAAGCCCACCCCCCATTCTCTCCTACAAGGCGGTAACACCTCCCATGGGGAGTCAGCAGAGCCTGGTACATTTAGTAAAGGCAGGTCCAAGCCCCTCCCCTTGCCAAAAGGTTGTTTAAGGTGTCCCACCATAGGTAATGGGCTCCAAAAAGCCAGTTCATGCACCAGGGATGGATCCTGATCCTACTGTCAGTATTCTTAATGTCACAGCTACTTTTTGACTAATTCATATATTCTTCCTGTTATATAAGTACACTTTTTAGCTTATGTGTGTCTAAATTGCAAAACCAATTTGTATGACATAATTTTCAATTGAGGCTAGTCTTTCTATATGCATTATAAATATTCTATCCCATGTTAATGTCAGCAAAATAGAAAAGTAATTTTAACTAGAAAAATAATCTGATTAGAAAGTATTAACAAGAAAATCTCAAGTCTTGTTCTTTTGTTTAAAATAGAACTTCTATGTTATAATGTTCTGTGTAAAGTCTTATATTAAGTAAGATATTTAAAACTGGATATGATGATGTATGCCTGTAATCCCAGAATGGAGAGATGGAGGCAGAAGGGTGATAAGTTCAACTCTAGTCTGTACTACATAGTAAGATGTTGTTTTCTAAAACTTATAATGCAAAACAAAACAAAAATGCCTGAGAAGTCTTTAAACAACTATGTATCATCACCACTGAGGCTTCACTGGACACCACAGTAGAATTCAGAGAAATGTGTTCCATATCCTACTCTAGGCAATGGAGGGGTCGAAGATACAAGCTTTTTAAAAGATGGCACAATGCTAGCCAGTTTCCCATGACTGGTGCAGCATGATGTTCTGGTCTCCTCTGGCACTCAAATTCCTCTATATGTTGTCAAACTATATACTACCCAAATAATCTTCTTGTTTTAATGAAAGTGTTTACTAGTTACTCAGCAGAACTATATCTTTTATACTTTCTGAAAAGAGTTCATATGTTACTCCTATGCTGTTACTATGGCTGTTTGCTGTATGTAGAACATTCTCTGCCTATCATCTATACATCAGGAATCTTTCTGTCCTTAGAGCTCAGGCAAAATGAGCCATCTTCTATGCAAACTTGCTCCAAAGACATCTGATAGTATTTTTCAATTCTTTAAAATGTCAAGATATTTTAATACAATTTTCTCTCATGGAAGATCACGTGCTTGGTAACTATTTCATATATATTTTTTTCTCTCATTAGATATTCATTGAGTCATTAGTATATGAATGAATAGGAGGAGGGATTATTAATCAGGTATTTTTCTGTACAAGTTTCTTATTCTACACCTCCATATTTCTGCATTCCATTGATAATTTTTAAATCATATTTTATTTATCATTGTATGTGTGTGTGGTTTTTTGTGTGTGCGTGTGTTTATAGTGTGTAGCATGATATGTTTGCAGAGAGCTTAGGGCATTCTCTCCTCCAACCATAGTTTTCAGAAATCAAACTCAGGTTGTTGGGTTTTCAAGGCAAATGCTTTTCCCCACTGAGCTATTTGCCAGCCCAGCCATTCTTTCTCTCTCCCTTAAAGACTCATCTGATGGAACTTCGCCGCCTGTGGGATCTGCTGTGGGAGTTGACCCAAGAGAAAAGTGATGTGCTTCTTCGGGCACTGAAGTTCTATCAGTACTCACAGGAATGTGAAGACATCTTGGAGTGGATCAAAGAAAAGGTACAATCTTGCATACTCTTGGGTACTTTGATGGCTCTGTCCAAGCACTCTATTGTCACTCTCTACAGCATAATCAAGTAGTCTGGAGTAGTTGAGGAATCTATTCATGGACTTCATTCTTTAGAGAAAAGGTGAATTTTGGCAAAGATTTGGGGAGATTCTGGAGATTAATGTTGTAGGGCATAAGCCTAAATCTATGGGTGTGATTATGGTAAAGTCAAGACTAACACCATACTTTCAGTATGGTCTAGACTCATTACCCCTCTCTCCCCATGCTGTTTAACTCCCCACTTCAATGGTTTTCCTTAAACTCTGAGTCTTGGCTGAAATAATTTTCAACTTTTCTTTCTCAGTACCTATAACTACTTCAAGCATAGTCCCCCAGTTGGGGCTGAAGTCTTACACACACAAGAGCTCAGTGCAGTGCTTTTTGCAGATGCTTGATTCAAAGGGAGGCAGAGTAGGAAGAATTGTTCATTTGTCTTCTAAAGCATAGAGGGAACTTCCGGAGACTCCCAACAATCCCCCTGAACTCACCAAAGGATTATCCCAAATGACACTAGTCCCAAAATCAAGGTGTCATCCCAAGACATTCTCCTGCTTCTGGCTTGTCTCAAGAAAGGGCCCCATATGAGTGATCCTGAGAAATTAACAGGGGCTTGAAACCTCCGACCTGCAAAGAAAATTCTAGATTTTTTTTTACTGGTGATTCCGTGGACTTTTTCCTTACTTACAGGAAGCTATAGTGACATTAGTGGAGCTGGGCGATGACTGGGAACGAACTGAAGTCCTGCATAAGAAGTTTGAAGAGTTCCAGGAAGAACTGATGGCTCGGAAGGGAAAAGTGGACAAAGTGAACCAGTATGCTAATGAGTGTGCCCAGGTGAGGTGGAGACAAAAGAGGCATTCCAGAGAAAGTAGAGGGATGCACTTACATGGACCAACATGTCGTGAGAAGCTTTTTTTCTTCTCTGGTTACAATCTCCCCTTTCTGATCCATAAAATGGCAGTGTGTATGTGTGTGTGTGTGTGTGTGTGTGTGTGTGTGTGTGTGTGTGTGTGTGTGTGTGTGTGTGTGTTCCATGGCAATGGTCTCCCATTGCCTATGAAGCCATGCTTCTTTATATGACAGTGTGACAAGGTGTGATATGTAAGTTCAGTGTGAAAGTTATTTTGGGTATGATGTCATCTTTGTGTTTTCTTTTTTAGGAAGAACATCCTAAGTTGCCTGAGATAAAGGCAAAGCAAGATGAGGTAAATGCTGCCTGGGATCGTCTCTGGAACCTGGCTCTCAAGAGACGAGAAACTCTTTCGAACGCTGCAGACCTCCAAAGATTCAAAAGGTATGATGGTGAAGGTACAGCATAGTACATAAAGGCCTAGTGTACCAGAGGCCCTGGATCTGATCTCCATCACTATCTAAAGTAAGGGAGTAGAAGCAAATAATCCTAGTCATCACAGAAGTGGAAGCTAGTGAATAAGGACTTCAAAAAGTGTCATCTTGGCCTTGATAAGTGTGCATCAGATTTATTTGTATTAGCCTCTGTCTACTCCTGTTAGCAATTACTTACCAATACCTTAAAGGCCAAAAGCCATCATTTTTTTCACCTTTGAGATAGCAAATGACTTAAGAAAGCAAAGACCAACTTGATATCCAATATATAGATTTTGGTATCCAAACAATAAAATAGTATAGCTCTGCTGCATTGGCACTGCAGAAGCAAAGAGGTTATGTAAGAATTAGATGAGTTAGAGGGAAAGAGAATGGCATTCGTGAATAACTGCTCACATGTCAGATACAGGAAGTGTCTCTAGTAGCTCAATAGTCAAGAACCCTTGGGCTAGAACATTAGACAAAAAATAACTGACAAGCAAGTACGTTTTAAGTTACTTCATGCCAGTTTGTTGAAAAATAGAGATGTTGCTACTTGTGGGAACTAAGCTGGTCTTGTGGGTCAGTTTGCCCTGTCATGCCTGCCATGTTGGTTTGTGGGTGCTCATGACACTGTCTGGTAGGGATGTCACTGAAGCCATCCAGTGGATGGAGGAGAAAGAGCCTCTACTCACCTCTGAGGACTACGGCAAAGATCTTGTTAGTTCTGAGGCACTGTTTCACAGTCACAAGGGGCTCGAGAGGAATCTTGCTGTCATGGATGACAAGGTAAGCCTTTGCTGGAGAGATGGCTAGCCCCAGACTTATAAAATGTACATGGTGATCCTCCTGTCTAGCACCATCCTCAAGAAGACATAGTCATTTCACACTTTTCAATAAAGGATGGATTCTTCTGTGCTGTTACAGTATTCCTCCTCATTCTAATTCATATTTGTTCAGTGAGACCGCAAGTCTTTACTTTTTATTCAAACTGCTTTTATTTTAATACACACATCTGTTTCATATTTGTGGTATATTTTGCAACTAAAGAAAATACCTCCAAGAAACTCATTAATTGCTCTCAATAAAACACCTTGGGACTAGAGTCTTCCCTCTGAGCACATTTTCTTCTGTTGCAGCTAGATCCTGGTTTTTGTCCTTCATACTGTAAATCAGGAATGAATTTTCTTCTTTCATAATAAACTGAGAGACATTAAAATCTAAATCTATCTTTTCACTCCCTTCTAAACACTGAAAAGCTCTCATTTTTATGTCTAGAGGAACAGACATAGGCACACTAGAACTCAGAGCAAGCCTATATTTCTGGACAATTTCTGTCTTTTATTTCTTCCCTTGTTACTGACATTTCTGTCACTGTGACCACAATGTCCAGCAGAAACTATGTAAGTGTAGACATGCTTGTTTTAGCTCATGATTCTAGAGATTTCAGTCTACCATTCCTTGGCCTCATGTGCTTTGGAAGGACATCGTGGTGATAGAAAAGTGGTGGAGGACAGCTGTTCACTTAATGGTTGACCAAGATGTAGAGACAGGAATATGGGAAACATGTGGAGTTAAATAGAATTCTCAAGAACATGCCTTTCCTTGACCTGCTTCCTCCAACTACACCTAGTCTCTTACCTTCTATCACCCTATACCCCTACACACAATACCAGATTATAAATCCATCAAGAGATTGAGTAATTAGAGCTCTAGTTGTCTCTAGAAACACTGTTCTCACAGACAGAGAAGTGCTTTACTAGGTTAGGCGTTTATTAACCCAATCATGTTGGCAATCAAAACTTACCATTATACTCCATTTTACAACTTTAGCTACAATTAAGGCAGAAACCCATATGTTTCCAACAAAGAGGCAGAGTACAGAAAGATCACACGTGCTTGCTCTGAATAAAGCCCTGTCTCCAGGTCCGTTTCCAGTGTCCTCTTCCACTATTGTTCATTTCTTGGATTTTTGTTGTTGTTGTTATTGCTGGTCTATTTTCCTCTAGTAATAAATGCTGAAACTATAGGATTTAATGTGTTATGGTAACAAAACTTCAAACTCTCAACAATATCTGATTATATTTTAATAATTAAAGAAATAATTATGACATGTGGAAAGTCACCCATGTCTATATTACACTATAGTATACCTGGCCTAAAGCTCAAAAGGAGTCATGTGGTTTTCTTACAAAAGTGTCCTTTATGATTGTACAATAACATCTACAGAGACATCATAGAGAGATGGCGAGAGATAAACTTGGTTCCAAACCTTGCTTCAGACAACGAGCAGAATTACTGAGTGAATAAAATAGTTTTTGTCTGTTGTTACTCATGTAACATAAGAATAAGAGAAAATGCCTATAGAGTATGGAACATAGTAGGATAATAAGGATTTAAAAAATTGTCATTAACATAGGATATTTTATATTAGTAAAGTATGTTCATATAAATATACTTATCAGTTATTACTATTCATGTGATTGTTTTTGTTATACTCTCTCCCATAAAGTTCTGCCAGGAGTCACAGTGCTTGATTTTTTTAGTAGGTTTCTTTCTTATTCCAAAGGTGAAGGAGTTATGTGCCAAAGCAGACAAGCTGATGATTTCCCATCCTGCAGATGCATCTCAGATCCAGCAGATGAAAGGGGATCTGGTCTCCAACTGGGAACGCACTCGTGCCTTGGCCACTAACAGATATGCAAAGCTGAAGGCTTCTTATGGGTCAGAAATTACACATCTTGTTCTACCTCTTCCAGGGGGTCCCAAAACAGAGAAAGGGTGAAAGGACTCTCAGTTCTCCTGCCTGCTCTGTAGAGGCAAATGAAAATTTAATTTGTCAAAGAAAGTTCTTGTGTTAACTAGTATACTACTCAGTATCATACATCCTCAATCACACTCCTTTATTGTTCCTGTCTAGATAGTTGTAAGATTTTATAAAGCAGACTATAAAGTTGGAAAGATCTTGACTCCAACAAAAATTGTAAATAAGGTTTCAAGCCAAAGAGTCAAAATGACTCCAGAATTGTGTTTTGGCTACCAGCCAAAAGTTATAAAAATTTATGATAACAAGGTGTCCTTTTAGTAGTTAATTCTTCGAGATAGTAATCCAACCATCAAGAGATAGAAGATAGTACTCATGGTATCATTATGATTTACAACCAAATGATGAATATTTAACTTTTTGAATGGATAATGACCTTACTAGTAGATTAATAGAATAAATATTAGCGAAGCTATTTTTGAGAAAACCCAACTCTCTCCCTACTCTGAGAGTTATAGGACATGTATCCATTTTCTGGCTGCATCATGAGACTTTACTCTGAGGTGGATGTGACCTTAAGGTGACAGAATTGGAACACCCACACAATGATACACCTATTCTTGGATCTACCACCCTGTGTAGAAAGGCTTCATAACCTACTCCACTGCAGGGGAAAGGGAGAGAGACATGGTATTAGGACAAGATGAACCTTACATGCCATTACTTATGCCACTCATAACCTTTTGTTCACAGTCCTTTCAAATCAGATATCTCCTTCCTGTCCTTTATCCTGTTTTTCTCACAGGTACCATCGGTTCTTATCTGACTATGATGAGCTCTCAGGCTGGATGAAGGAAAAGACAGCTCTGATCAATGCTGATGAGCTGCCAACAGATGTAGCCAGTGGGGAAGCACTACTAGCCAGACACCAGCAGCATAAGGTAAGGAGCAAAGGCTTCCCTAATAGGATAAAGGATGGAAGGATTTTGTTCAATATTGAGAAATCCAGGTCATTTCTTGCCGCATTTGAGACATTCTGCTTTGTGACCACAGCATGAGATTGACTCCTATGATGACCGATTTCAATCTGCTGATGCAACTGGCCAAGATCTGCTGGATGGCAATCATGAAGCTTCTGAGGAAATTCGTGAGAAGGTAAGCTGCTTTCACACAATGTATAAAGTTTCAGTAATATATTCAGCCCTAATCTATCTCATGCTCATATGGTAATCTCTCTTTGAAAAGAGGGAAAGAGACACCTAAACATGTTAATGGTGTGTCTGGAGTCTACCTAGTCCTCATCACATCTGCAATGGCTAAGCTGAGTCACTCAAAATCCTCACAAGATGAGTGATTGCTCTGCTTTGGATATTACTACATCAATTCTCTGACTTAACACCTCATTTGAAACCTTTATATCATCTTGCATCATTGCTTTATTTTATCACACCCTCACACTCATCTCTAGATGGTAAATTCAGTGTTGTGTGTACCTTAATAATCTTTGGGTCTCCTACAATGTCTAGTCCAGTGATATGTACTTGGACCATTTCTGCTCTCCTCTATACAACACTCAAATTAAGCTGATGTTTCACCACTGATGAGGAAATCATCAAATGTCTACCCATTTTTCTCCAAAGTGCAACGTATGACATAACTGTTCATGACCTGGCAATATAATTTTCTTATGTTCTGATGTTATTCATCATCCCTGATGCTCCTCACTAACTCTGTAAATTTCTTGGTACAACAGTCCTTATACTCTCTGTAGTTTTGTTCCCTAGATCGTCCTACCTGAATTAATCTTTTCTTCTTTTTTTAAACATATAAAGCATGTTATGTCTCTTTCATGGCATATATCCTACTTTTCCATACTGCACTTACTTGCTTGCCTGGTGGGACCTTAGGAGAATAGCTCATTTCTTACTCATTTTTGCACTTTTCAAATAGCATTGCATTTATTAGCTGCTCAGTAAGTGAAGGATAAAATTTATTAGTTAATTTTTTTCTGATACAATGTCCCTTCCTTTGCTAAGATGACAAGACTAGCCAACGACTGGGCTGCCCTGCTGGAACTATGGGACAAATGTCAGCATCAGTATCATCAGTGCCTGGATTTCCACCTCTTCTGCCGAGACAGTGAACAAGTGGATAGTTGGATGAGCAGACAAGAGGTAACAGGTGGCACTGGGTCAGTCTTCAGATATCACTTCTTCCATTCTTTATTTACCGCTTTGACTACTATCAGCACCCGAGAAGTTATTTCTTTTGGACAAAATTGTCTCAGGAACTGCAGTATGATCATGGCAAAAAGTAAAGACGAGTTTGCTCTCTAAAGCTGCTGCTACAATCCCCTTCATGTGCAAAAGCATATAAAAATATTTAATTACAAGCTGAGCATAGTGAGCATGCATGCAATCCCAAGACTCAGGATGCTGAGTCCTCAGGAGGGTCAGAAGTTTGAAAACAGTCTGTTCTGCCTAGTGACACTATCTCAAAAGCTTTGTTTAAGTATGCGGCACAGAGATTTTTGACTACAGTTAAAGAAAAATAAAATGAATATCAAATTGGTAAGGGCTCAGGAAGAAAATTTTACAAGTCAGACAGGGTTAATGAACAGACTTCGAGAAAGAATGTAGTCTTCCTGGGGTAGTTTTGAGAACTCTAAATAATATTTAGTTAGTTGTTGAGAGAAATTCATGTGAATAGATCCAGAGATAAAGGTAAGAAAGTTGCATGCAAGCATTAAAAGACTGGGAGTCTAAGCTCATGGTATTTGAAGTTAATTTCTACAGAATATCCTTATCTGTGCCAATTCTCACCTTGCTCTACAGTTCCCTAGACTCCTTCCTTTGTCCTTGTCTCTGGAAACTCCAAGAGGAAATGGGTTTTACCAGTGAGGAAACCTAGGATGTGTCTTTCTGTCTTCTACAGGCCTTCCTAGAAAATGAGGACCTGGGAAACTCAGTGAGCAGTGTAGAAGCCCTTCTTCAGAAACATGATGACTTCGAAGAAGCGTTCACTGCCCAGGAAGAAAAGATTATAGTAAGTAATGCTTCTGGTTGAACATTGGTTTCCTATTTCCATACACTGTTTCCATACATGCCTCTAAACAGAATCACCATTGTGACTACAAAACCTAACATCAGGGCTGTTGTTGTGAATTGCCACCCCTTCCTTTGTTGTTGATAGTATCTACTTACATGTCTTAAAACGCTGTGGTTTGGTTCTGTGAGCATATAGATTGTTTATAGTGTGAAACCAAATCAAGATTTATCTTTTGGAAAAAAAGGAAAATATCCAAAGCAGTGATAATAATACCCATTTCATCAATAAATTTCTTGATCTACAAAATGCATTTAGGAAGAGGTCTCAAGATGGTAAGACATCTTCTAATGAAGCACATACTTTGTATTATGTATTTTGAATTGTAAATAAAAATGCTAGATCCATATTCAACATAGAATCATCATTTAAATATTTCAAATGTTTTTCCTTTTGATAATATTTTAATGTACTTTCTTCTCTCAAAGTTTTCATGTTTAATTATATACATTTTCCTGAAGCATTACTTTCCTTTAATATATTATAATATTCATTTTTTATTTTTTTCATCTAATGCTAGTATAGAGATTTTCTGTGGAACTTAGGTTATAGTGTGCCATAAAATTTATCAATATATGAGAAGGACTTCAAGAGCATGATGAATATGTAAGGGATGAAATACACTGTCTATCTTTAATTGTCTCCTAAGGTAGTACACAATAGACACACACACACACACACACACACACACACACACACACACTATATATATATATATATATATATATATATATATATATACACACATATATATATCATCACCAACACTAGCATAGAAAATAATAAGTGAACTCTAAATCTCCCCTACTAATTAATATCACAATAAGGTGACACTTTATTAATTAATTTATATATCTATTATACATACTCACTGGTAAAAAGCTGAGTATAGAGTAATTCATATTATTGTGTTATAACACATTTTATATATTCCTATCCCAACTAATAAATACATTCTGAACTTTAGCAATTTGAGGGACTGATGAATGAATATGGATAAAAAATGTTTTATATACTTCTTCTCTCCTTATTCCAGTGTAGCTATAAACAGAAATATAGTTACAGATGCATATAATAGATTGCTGGATGGGCTAGACAGAATAACTGATAAGAAAATGATATTGGTTCTAGCCTTGGTAGTACTTCTTCTGTGTCTACTCATAGTGACATCTAAATTCATGCACTATAACCTAGACTAGAAAAAAATATAGTGCAGAAAAGATAATCATTAAGCTTAGAGTATACTTTCTGAAGTACAAGCATATCAGAATTTATAACTAGGATCCAGGCCTTCTAATCTTCAAGATTAGATTCTTGTACTTATACATTGGTATTCTTTATCTTAAAGAGGTACTCGAACTAGGGCCACTCATTTAACTGTTGCTGAGGCAAAGTCATTGTATTTTTTTTTTCAGACCTTGAATGAGACTGCAACCAACCTTATTGAGAATGACCACTACGACTCTGAGAACATTGCTACTATTCGTGATGGGGTATGCCCAAGGCCCATGGCCTCTATCTGCCTTTCCTTCTCTGTTGCTGTGGTAAAACACTGATTAAAAGTGACTTGAGGGAAGAAATGGTTTATTTGGCTTTCAGGGTACAGTACATTATAAAGGGGAGCCAAGGTAGGAACCTGGAGGTAGAAACTGAAGTAGAGACCACGAAGGAGTGCTGCTTACTGACTTAATCCTCATGGCTTGCTCAGCCTGCTTATTTATAAAACTGAAGACCACCTGACCAAGGGTGGCACTCTCCACAGTGGAAATGGCCCTCTCACATTAATCATTCATCAAGAAAATGTCCCCACAAATATGCCCACAGGTCAGTCTTATGGATGAAATTCTTGAATTAAAGTTTGAACTTTCCATGTGACTAGTCTATACAAATTGATCAAAACTAACCAATACATTGCCTGTGCACTGGGATCAGGAAGAGCATTGGGGGAAAGAAGGTCAGGGTGGGCAATAACCTCAACTGTCTATATTTGCTTTTGTTGGCTGTGAGCTTATTCACAGATTAATAGATGGATGGGTGTGTGTGTGTGTGTGTGTGTGTGTGTGTGTGTGTGTGTGTGTGTGTGTGTGTGTGTGTATGTGTGCTTCACAGTTGTTGGCCAGGTGTGACGCCCTGCGTGAAAGGGCTGCTGCTCGACGAAAATTGCTGGTAGATTCACAGCTTCTCCAACAACTGTATCAAGACTCAGATGACCTAAAAACCTGGATCATTAAGAAGAAAAAGTTGGCTGATGATGAAGATTACAAGGTAGGGAGATTTGTTCAACCTTGTTTATACCTATTGGCATATCAATTGGATTCATAGAATTGTAGTTTGGAGCTAAAGGCACCTGATGACCTTCATTAACAGATGACAAAACAGAGCATGAAAAAATGTGATGGCTCCCTGGGGCTGTACACTTAGATAAAACCCAAGGGTCTGGATTCTGGTTTTGCCATACCCTTTCTTTCTCCTCTCTCAACCAGACCACCTTCTAGTGTCCTTAACGGATGATAGGCAAGGATGCTCCATGCTTGGATACTTGTAGTCCCTTAGTATACCTTCTGCTCTTCTACATACCTCTCTCATTGGTGAACCTTTAAGACAGGTTCTTTTTATGTTCCCAAGAAGGTCTCAGACTCAAAATCTTCCTACCTCAGTCTCCTGAGCAGCTAGAATTAAAGCTGTGTGCTGACACCATAACTGATCCTTCTATATACCTTTGCAATTGATAATATTGTGCCTGGTTCAAGTCATTAACTCAAATTCTTTAAAGCTAAAGTAAGTGCAGAAGAAAGTTAAGCATTTGGGTAATGTAGACTCACTCCCTCAACTTTCTGGCTAGAAGAAACCAATTCTTTATTTTATGAATGAAGAAGCACACTTCTGAATTTGAAGGTGTCCAAAGGTAACTAGTTATTTAGAGCATGCTACCTGTAAAGATTGAAAGCATAGACTCTCACATGCAACCTGGGCTTGAAATTTTGCCCTGTATTCTTTTAGTTTCTATGACTGTGAAAGTTGCTGGGGAATCTTTAGGCTACTGATTTCTTTTCATTAGAGTTGTGCCAATGCATGCTTTCACTCACATATGTAATGACAAGCTATTATGTGCACACGTGTATACAGCTTCTAACCTTTCACATTAACAATCAAGGCTCAGATTAGTCTCTCAGTTTCTAGGCTAATATTGAAAGTATCTACTTTTCTATATTTGCTTTATTCATAAATGTATACTTGGTTCATACCTTAGGTAATTTTGAACACTTTACTTCACCTTTCACTCTATGGAATTACAAACCACGTGTTTGCATTTTCTATAGGAGTAGCAGTTCTTGTGTGTCCAGAGTAAACAGAGTTCTAAAATGCAAATGCATGGGTGGTATATGTACTGAAAAAGAAATAGAAAATAATTTTCACCTCTCACATGACTGATGACTCATGCTTGCAGGGGGTCTTATTAATCTTCATGACCTAGCGATGGAAGGCTTAGACATTCTTCCTTGTGTATAGGAAAAATTGCCACATGAGTTTCCCAAACAATGGGAAAGAATCCTTTTCTTTGTCTTCCCTTCTTTGTTGCATTTACTTTATTGTGATACTTCTTTACATGAGTTCTGTATTTACATAATTTCCCTACCACTCTCCCCCTCTAACTCTTCTCTGGCTTCTCCCTGTATTCTTTTCTTAACATTTATAGCAACACTCCTTGCCCTCAAAATCTCTTTTTTTAATAACTTTTATTGAGTTTGCTCTTTAACAACTTCATGGATTATGAATTGCATTCTTCCTGTTTTCTTATTATAATCTCCAGCCTCTCTAATCTTTCTCCCACACTATTATTCCACCTTGCCCCTACAAACTCCTTTTCCACATTCACAAAATTTTTTGTTTTTGTTTTATGTTTGTGAGTTTGGTTCAAGGATTTTATTCCTTAGCTTTGTGTGTGGGGGGGGAGGGGGGGTGTGCTCGCATGCATACATGTGCACATGCTCCTGTAGCACTGACTTTATTGACCTGAATCATCTGTGTGATCATGGATTTGGAGCTATGCATGCATTGGAGCCTAGTGAACTCATTGGCAGATGAACAACTAAAGACAATAAAGACTCTTCCCCTAGGATCCATCAGTAGTCAATAGTTCAGCAGTGAAGGGTAGGGTCCCATAAGTTCCTGCTGACCTGTGATTGACTGTTGATAGGCCCACTATAACGCAGCCCATTGCAATCAATCGGTCACACCAACAGTCAGATCATGACTGCATTGGCTGTGCTGTGCCCAGCATTTCACGTCCCTTCTCCCTATCCTTTGATTCTTATATTCTTTTTTGCTTTGTTTTGTTTTTTTGTTTTTGTTTTTTGAGACAGGGTTTCTCTGTGTAGCTTTGTGCCTTTCCTGGTACTCACTCTGTAGCCCAGGCTGGCCTCGAACTCGCAGAGATCCACCTGCCTCTGCCTCCTGAGTGCTGGGATTAAAGGCGTGCGCCACCACCGCCCGGCTGATTCTTATACTCTTTCCACTCTCTTTTTTGGATGTTCCCTGAGCCTTATATAGGCTGTTGATGGCTAAGCTCTCAACCTTCACTTATTGTCAGCACCTTCATCAGCCATGTATCTCTGCATTCACCATCATTTACTGCACACATATGATTCTCTGATTAAGGCTGGGAGTAACATTTGCCTATGTATATAAACATAAATGTTTATAAGGCAGTTTGACACCGTGACAATTTACATGAGTAGTTACCCCTGGGGGATAAGACCGCCTCAGCCATGGCCTTTTGACTAGCTTTATAGCACCAAATGTGAGTTCTCTTTGGGAGAACAAGCTTCAAATCTAAGCAGAGAACAGTTGTTTACTCCAGTGGCAGTCCTGCCTCCAGTTCACCAGTAGGCGCAGTCATCTTGCATGTTAGTGTTCTACGTAGTAGAATTCACAGCTGAGTAAAATTGTTGCTGCCTTCTCTCTACTAGCCTAGATTGTTGATGCCTTCTGTCTACTAGCCTGATTGGTACTATGAAAGATAATGAACATGGAATCTTCCAGCTCAGTTCCAATTTGGTTTTTCTATAGAGTCTCACCGTCTTCCTGGTTTTTCTTAAAATGTCTGTCTTTCCTTCTTCAAGCAGTGATTTCCTTGATTTTCTCATCTTCTCTCAGGATGTACAGAACTTGAAGAGCCGGGTTCAGAAGCAACTAGACTTTGAAAGGGAATTGGCAGCCAATGAGATTATGCTCAACAACCTGGAGAAAACTGGCAAGGAGATGATTGAGGATGGTCACTACGCCTCTGATGCTGTGGCCACTCGCATGAGTGAGGTTGCCAACCTCTGGAAAGAGTTGATGGAGGCAACAGCGCAAAAAGGTTAGGAGCAAAGTTTTGCGTAAAGGGTAATTCAATTCTTAAGTTCTGAAATCTACTATTTCTCTCTTTAGCATCAAATTATTTGGTGAACTGTTTGCTATGGGACCCTAGCCATTTGCTTCCCCATGTCCTCTGGTCATCAACATTTAAAATCTAGTCTAAATATATCACATTATATATTTAATCCTTTAAATGTTTTCTTTATTTATCACTGGGGTTTTGTTGTTGTTGTTGTTGAAATTTCATTTTTTTCTTCAATTTTCTCCTAAATTTTTATTTTCTTTTTTAAAATATCTTTATTTTATAATTAACTTAATTTCACATATCAGCCACCGATTCCCCTGTCCTCCCACCTCCCACCCTCCACCCTTCCCCCTCCAATCCACCTCCCATTCCCACCTCCTCTAAGGCAAGATCTCTGTTAAAATATTGAAAGCCACAAATTTGGTATTGGTTTTGTATCTAAACCTAATATGCCAGAATTTTTTATGCTATATTTTTAACATATTTTGGTTATATAAACTAGATATATAAATGGGTCATAATATAAAGTGTTAAAATTGACATTAAGAGTTTAGGATTGTTAATATTGTAATATCAACAATCTTATAGAGTTTGATAAAATGCTTCTTTTTTTGCCTATGTAGAAATGGATCAGACCCTGCTGTAAGTTTTCAAATACATATCTTTAACCTATTTTTTCTTGCACCTTACATTTGTAAATTAACCATTTGTCTGTCAGTAATTATTACAAATGATGTTTTCTCTATTGATATCTGCACTGTTATGACTTTCATCTGTAGACAGGATTTTGACCTGGGTGTAGAAAAGGGTGTTGAAGATATTACATTGGTTTCTTTGGATGTTATCCAGATTTGGGGCTTAAGGAAAAAAATGTAATGTTTTAATAATAAGATGTAATGACTACTTTCCACAGCAGGAGACATAGTAATTTCTTTGAAGAATAATAATACAAATAGCTACAAGGTAATAGAATAAAGAATTAGCCAAATATAATGGGAATCATGAAGGTAGTTCTAGAAGATAAAATAATGAACCATGGTTTGTGATGAAAGACAGTCACTAGTAGTAAGGCTAGCCATACTCCAAACAACCTCAGAATTTCAACTTACCCAGCCCCAAAGTTTAGAAAATGTGATGTTTGGATTTGAATCTCATCCGAAGAAGGGTCTGTACAATGTAAGTGTTGACAACTAGCAAGTAGAACTACATTTCACCAGACTATGTAACTTATTGTTTATGTTTTGATAACATCTCCATATTTAAAACCAAATACCACCAAAATTAGTACTAACTTAAGATGACTTCTTCTATAATGGGATGTGAGATTGTAACATGGATCTTAAATGGTCTTATTAAACAAAAAACACAGAGCCAGATATTGGGATAAATTCTGAAAGATCAGAGGAATAGGACAAGCCAAAACCAACCTTACTTTACCTACTTCCTATATACCCATGCCTATATTCCTTTCTGTTGTGCTAACTCATTTTCTCTCTCCACCCAACTACATCACTTCCTTTTCCTGCCCAGCTATGTCACTTCCTGTCTGTCTGTACAGACTTCCAGACCTTTATGGTTAACTAGTGTTGGAATTTAAGTCATGTGCCACCACACCTGACTCTGTTCCCAGTGTGGCCTTGAACTCACAGAGATCCAGATGGACTCTTGCCTCCCGAGTGATAGGATTAAAGGCATGTGCTACCATTGCCTGACTTCTATGTTTAATATAGTGGCTGGCTTTATCCTCTGATCCTCAGATAAACTTTATTGGGGACACAGATAAAATATCACCACAGGAGATGGTTCTCTAATTTTTCTCTTTGCAATGTCCAAATATATTTCTCCCTAAGTTGAGGGATAGGGTATTATAGTGTGCAGAGAAAAAGCCATAATTCTCTGTGTCTTCTCCCCTAGGGACTCAGCTGCATGAAGCTAACCAGCTGCTACAGTTTGATAACAATGCAGAAGACCTGAAGCACTGGCTAGAGGATGTAGAATGGCAGGTTACCTCTGAAGATTATGGGAAAGGCCTGGCGGATGTGCAGAATCTACTGAGGAAACATGGACTTCTGGAGTCAGCTGTGGCTGCTCGTCAGGTTTTTAGTTTTTTTGCTAATTGTAGAAAACTGGACATATACTCTATGCATATGCATAATCTATAATTATTATTATTCCTACTAAGTTATCAGGAAACCAAAGGAAATTTTTCAAAAACTTAGTTGGTGAACTGCCTCTTTCCAGTACCTCCCAAGTCCTTTCATTCTCCTGAGCATGTCCACTAGAAACGGATGACCAATGTAAGCACTTACTGACTCTTCTAAATATCATGCCAATTTCTCAGTCTAGAATCCTAGGCTTTTTTAGACAGCTAATTTTCATTTGCTCATTTGTAGCTCATTTTACATGAGTCTGTATCAATACTATCATCTATAATGTAAGAGCTACCCATTCTGGTATTCTGTATCCATGTAATCTTACTGATCCTTTTTAAAAATATTATAATCCTACCTTCACAGAACATTAAATTAATAGGGCCCCAACTTTCAGTATTTGAAAAATCTCATCTCATCCATTCTTTATAAATTATGTAATTTCCCAACACACATTGTTTTTCTTCACCAGAATCAAGTGGACACCCTTACAGACTTGGCTCTGCATTTTGAAGAAATAGGCCATCCTGACTCTGGGGACATCCGTGCAAAGCAGGAATCCTTGGTGTCCCGCTTTGAAGCTCTGAAAGAGCCATTGACCATGAGGAAGAAGAAACTCATCGACCTGCTCAAGCTACTACAGATTTGCAGAGATTCAGAAGATGAGGAGGCCTGGATCCAGGAGACTGAACCCTCAGCAGCTTCCACGCATCTCGGTCAGTGCAACATAATCAGACTGAGCAGTCAGGAAAGGACCAAGTTCTCCAGATTGAGAGAACAAGACACAGCAGTGATGGGATAAAAGTTTACTCGTGGCTCTTCCACACCAGACTCATGAAACTTTGTTCTGACCTCCATCAATGTTTAATATTTAAAAATTGTGCCAACAGATTCACCTTATAAGACAAACATGAACAATGGCCTGAGTTCAGACCTTTAGGAAGCTGTGGAGTGCTTAGCTTTCTGAAGATTGAGCTGAAATTTGTTTTGTCAATACTTCTTTACTGAGAAGTAATGGTTAATGCTTGAAGTATCAAGTATATTTGTCTGGGTTATTGGTGACCCTTTGAGAATTATATGACCTACCACAAAGATTCAAAAGTAAAGTGTAGATATACAATTGTCTTACACTTTAGAACTTATTAATTCATAAGTGTGACTTCCAGGATAGTTGCTTTGATGTTCAGGAAAAGCACACACAAATATTGCACAACTTTATGCAGATGTTCTGGGAGTATCTATGAAAGGCCATCAAGGGATAAATCTGCAAAAAGTTCATAAAAAAAAATCCTGATTCTTGTTGAAGCAGCATGAGAGTGTCTGGAGAGATACTGTTGTTGGGTTTTTTACTCTTTTTACTCTTTGTTCTTTTGAGGGGTCCACCACCTAGCTCCCAAATAAATACACACAGGGGTTTATTCTTAATTATAAATGCCCAGCCTTAGCTTGGCTTGTTTCTTACCAGCTTTTCTTAAATTAGCCTGTCTACCTTTTGCCTTTGGGCTTTTACCTTTCTCTATTTCTGTATACCTTTCATTATTTCTTACTCCATGGCTTGCTGTATAGCTGGGTGGCTGGCCCCTATGTCCTCCTCCTCCTTTTCTCATTCCTTCTTTTTTTCCTCCCAGATTATCCTTCTATTTATTCTCTCTACCTGCCAGTCCCGAATATCCTTTCTCCTGTCTAGCTATTAGCTGTTCAGCTCTTTATTAGACCAATCGGGTGTTTTAGACAGGCAAAGTAACAGCTTCACAGAGTTAAACAAATGCAACATAAAATAATGCAATACATCTTTGCATCATTAAACAAATGTTCCACAGCATAAACAAATGTAACACATCTTAAAATAATATTCCACAACATACTGTAGTGCCAGGTACAGGGAAGAAAGTCTGGAAATTAGAGGGGTTAAGTATGCTGAGGAAGCAGGGAGGGTAAAAATGGATGAAATTCTCAGTGGTCATATTTGTGTGGTATTAATATTGGGCAGCAGATGAAGCATGTTTTATAAGCAAGTCCCATTCACAAGTATAATATCAAACCTTGAATTCTTTTTCTCCACAGGCAAGGACTTGGTTGCAGCCAAGAATCTTCTGAACAGACATGAAGTCATTTTGGCAGACATTGCCAGCCATGAGCCACGCATTCGAGTAATAACAGAGAGGGGAAACAAAATGGTAGAGGAAGGTATGTGTGACCCTGATTGATTTGCCCAAAACCTCACCATGACAGACCTTGGGGAAGAAATTTAGATAATCTTAGTAATTAAAGTGAGTTTAAAAATAGATGGCATCACTTTCCAATTTAATAAATAAATTCCCTTTGAGTGTTTCTGATAGAACAGTATTCATTGTGTTTTTATAACCCTTCTGTAAAAGATGTTCAAACACTTTTGAGGATTATTTATTGCATATCCAAATTCATTAATATAAATCAATTTTAGTCTAAATTATCAATATGCTTCTTTGGAGAAGTTGCAGAATTCAAATCTACGTTTCAAAGCCTTGTAAAACAGGAGACCTTTTTCTGTGTAAGGCCTTCCAAATATCTAAAAGCTTTGCTTCATCATTCCCTTAAATTTTTCATTTTATGAAACTTTATAAAACATGTTTGTCATCCATACTTAGAAAGCTCTGCTCTCTAAATAGAATGTTCAGATTTGAGCATCATATGCCAGGTGTGGACAAGCAACCCAGGTTACAATCCTCCTGTTAACTAATCAATTATTAGTATCTAGTTTTTAAAAGTGTAGGTTGAAATAGTTTGCTGAGAAATTTTGAGTTCTGAACTCAGTTATTCAAACCAATGAAATTTATTTTCCTTTATTGTTGTTGTTGTTTAAGCATTTGTTTTATAATTCTATCTTGCCATAGCACATAACTTTTTGATTCTCTAAATCTCTGACTATAGATGTTGATATTTTTCTATTTCTTATTATATGCTCATCAGTTCTTATTTTATAATGTTTTGGAAGTTTATTATTATATGTAAATACAGCTGAGGTATTTGTCTTTCTGATCACTTGTAATTTCTACAAGATGAAATATCCATCTTTGTTCCCAGAAATATTCCTTTTTTCTGAATCTACTCAATGTTTCTTTTAATGTGATTATTTGGTTTGTCTTTTAATTAGTTTTTACCTCAAAATTTCATGTTTAACTTCTTATATGGTAACTATTGATAAATATAATCATATGTGTGGCAGCTTAATAGGGGTACTCCACATTGTTTTAAGTTTTTATAGGTATTCTGAGAGCAAAACATTGGGAGCGATTATTCTAGGATTTAAAATACATATTTTAATTTATGACAATTTAACCTTAAATAATATAGCATTTCATGTGTAATGAAACATCTTCTAGTGCACTCTTCCATTTTCATCTTTTTCCTGCTGTTACACATTTTAATTTTGTTACGTTATAAATCTTTCGATGCTTTAACATTATTTTGACTTTAATTTTCAATTAGCTTTGAATAATATTGATAAATAAGAAATTTCTTTCCGTATATTTACCTCTTCTGCTTTTCCTTGCTCCTTTGTGCTCGTCGAGCTTACCATCTGCACTGCTTTCCTCCTACCTGAAGAACTTCTTCTGGAGGACCTTGTAGTGTGATCAGCTAACCATAAGTCCCTTTGCTTATGTTCATACGAAAGTCTTCATTTATTTTACATTCATTTTTTTTCAAGTGTATTTTCATTATGTGTCAAAGTAGCTTCCTTAGGCCTTAAAGATGCAAGTATGTTGCCCTCAGAGCTGCAGTTTCTGATTTGAAGTCTGATGTTGTCCACTGTCTGCCATGAATCTCGTTTCTAAGCTACTGAACCTTTCCTCTTTATCATTCATATTTGTTTCTTCAGTATGACAGCCATAGGGCTTCTTGGATCTTCATTGTGATTCTTCGGACAGACTGTACCATTGGACTACTTTAGAGATAAGTCTAGTACTAACATACCTTTCTAATGACCCTACTTTGCGTTAATGGTATCCTTTCAGTTCATTGGGTTGTAGTTTACCTACCTGCAGATTTAGATGAGTCCTAAGGACTGTATGACGGCTGCCTTCACACCACTTCTCATCTTTTCTTTGCATGTATACAAATGACTCATTAGGCAGACATCCTAATGGACCTCACTGAACATCTTTGAAGCTCCTCCTCTGTGAAGACCCCATCTCTTGTGTTCTCTGTCTCACAAGTTCTAGTTCTTGAATTTCCCATTCACTATCTCATTAACTTGGATTTAGCTTGGGTTAGTTTCCTGGCACAGAACCTCCAAACTATCTAGGACATAAGCTACAGCATCATTAGAGCATGTCTCATCTTTTCCTTTTCCTTTCCTTTTAGTAATGCTCTGAAAATCATTATACTTTCCATATTGACCAGTTTTGTACTTTTAAGGCAAAATGGAGATCTGCTAGTCCTTCTGCTGAATCTAGAGAACAAATGGTTTTCATCCTCTGAGCCTTATAGCACTCATGGGTGTCTTATTTTTGTGTATGTATTTCTTAGCTTAAACCAACTCACTCTCTATCACATATATACATCTATCGCCCACCTATTGCTGCTTAATCTCACTTAAGACATTCCAACTCCCAGGAATTCTATTGTAATCCTTACTAAATTTAGCATCATCTTCTTGCCTCTTGTTTTTCTCCATGGTTTGATGAGGATTAGAACACAACAGCTATGAACCAGGGTCATACTCACTATGCCTATACCTACTCCACAGGACACTTTGCTGCAGAAGACATAGCATCTAGGGTTGAGAGCTTGAACAAAAATATGGAGTCTCTCCATGCTCGAGCTATTAGACGGGAAAATGATCTCAAGGCCAGTGTCCAACTCCAACAGTACCTGGCAGATCTGCATGAAGCAGAAGCATGGATTAAAGAGAAAGAACCAATCGTAGACAATAAAAACTATGGAGCTGATGAAGAAGCAGCTGGGGTAAGGTGGGGTGGAATGACCATGGTCCAGTGAATAGTCACCAAATTCCATCAAATGCTAGATTATCTTGTTTCAGCAGTGATTTTTTTGTTTGCCTTGATCTGCTATAATATACCCAAAGTTAATAGAGACCCCAAAGGAACATGACATTTTTTTCTAATCTCATAGAATTCCATAGGTCCTGTAAAGAATACTTAGATCCAAAGTCTGTGATCAAAGATTTATATCTGTCCCAGTCCTATTCTGAACTTCTCAGAGTCACCTAGAGTCACTTCTATAGGCTAACTATACCTTTAAAATGGGAACCTTACGGTTGGAGAGATGGCTCAGAGGTTGAGAGCACTGGCTGTTCTTCCAGAGGTCCTGAGTTCAAATCCCAGTATTGTGAGATGGTGGCTCACAACCATCTACAATGAGGTCTGGTGCCCTCTTCTGGCCTGCAGGCTGAACACTCACAGTATACATAATAAATAAATGAATAAATGTTTAAAAAAATGGGAACCTCGACTCTTTTATTGAAGAGAAATAAGATAGACATTTTGGGACAGGAGGAACCTTAAGGATCATAATTACTTTCAATCACTCTTACATCCACTGCTATGTTCAGTGTCATATGGAAAGCATCATATCTATAAAGCAAATTTAATTAGCTTTAGAAATAGTGTGTGTTTTAAGTTTTTCTGATATGAATCCTACAAAGTAACATTATCCATAGTATTGTTCACAGTCACACCCTCTCACAGCTGTGATATATCTTGGTTACAATTTGTGTAAAACTTAGTTAATTTTGATTTGAGCAAATACATTGAAATTGTTATTCATTTGTTTACTGAAATTTCCTTGAGTCTTGCTTGCAAATGTGATATGAAAAGGAATTTTCTATTACAGAAGTAACTGACTTAACCCAATCACATAATCCATTAGTAATAGTCACTGAAACACCTCCCTGGCATTCTTGCTGTTTCTCTGATATTTGCTCTAATTATCTTTCCGTCAATAAATCCAGGCCCTTCTCAAGAAGCACGAGGCCTTCCTGGTGGATTTCAATGCATTTGGGAACAGCATAAAGGCTTTGAGGGATCAGGCAGAAGCCTGCCAGGTGAGAAGTGCTGGGTTCTGACAGTAATCACACCCCTCACTATAGATGGAACAGAATTCTGTTGCTGACTCATCTTTTTCATCACTTTCAACAAACCAGAGAAGAATTGCAAAGAAAATACTAGTTCTGTAATTATTTTAGGTAAGAATTCTAACCTCTTAGTAGCATCTACAAAGATGTGTGCCAAAAGAAATTTTCAATAAGCATTAGGTTTGGTAACATACATTCTGGCTTTCTCTTTTGCTCCTTTTTATCTCTTCTCTCCGTACCTTTCATTTTTATTCCCTTATTCTCCTTGCTTTGTGACTTAGTTTTTGTTTGAACATAAGACTTTTGAAATATAGAGATTCAGGTTTTGATTGAAATAATCATATCACGAAATTAGTTTGTTAATAGCTAGAAATAGTTTTAAAGTCTATGTATAAGCAGAAAACAAAAATGCGACCACAGTAGAAAAGAACCATCTGTTCACATGGAACATGAGTGCCAGGAAAGAGAAACATTTTTATATTCCAGATATGGAAAGGCTCTTTTGTAGCCCATAATCTATGAGAATAGATACACCAAGACACAGACCAATCAAGTATATCTGGGCAGTCAGAAACATGGTTAGCTGAGAGTGTTGGGATGCTGAGAAGTGGGGTAAAAGGGGTATTCAAGAGTGATAAACTTGGAATTAAGTAAATGATAAAACACCTTATTTCTTATAAGGGCAAAAGGAAAGGAGAATGTGTGTGTGTGTGTGTGTGTGTGTGTGTGTGTGTGTGTGTGTGTGTGTGTAAGGAGAGATTGAGAATTCACACACTCAGACTAGACACACACTGAGCACAGCAAGTCAACACAGGTTCAAAGCACTCCTGCTTGAACCAGGCTGTACCCAGTAGATGCCTGGACACAGACAGACAGATTGATGCATCGCATGTCAAAAGGAAATGCAACAGGTGAGGGGCATTAAGTCAGAGAACCCACTACGGCAGACTCACCTTCAACAGCAACCTGAAGGGAGCATGCTTAGGAGACCACAGCACTCAACAGAAATTAAAACAGAAAGCGTATCCTGGAACCGAGGGATTTCTTTAAAGAGAAAAAGAGAGATTTTTAAGTAATATGCTATGTTCACACTTTTTCAAATTCTGTTGCTTTTTCTGTGCTGTAGGTTGTCAATCTCTAAAGCAGAAATTTCACAATTCCTTAACAAAATGGATTAAAGACCAAGCAGGTGGGAAAAATCTGTTAGTGAAGACCCAGGGAAAGGAGAAAGTGATTACAGACAGAGAGTCTGTTTTTGTATAATATTTAAGGGCCCAGCCTTAATATCATACAATTCCAGGGGCCCAGGAGAGATGCTGCCATCGGCGCAGGAATGAACCCAGTTGCACAGCTCTTTTGTCCAATCCATTTGTCAGTCACCATCATTCAGTCACCAGTTCAACTCTCTCCATTCTCTTAAGTCCCTCAGTTCCAATTCTCTCAATTTCACCCTCCTTCTCCCGGGACTGGTCTCTATCCTCTCCCAAGCAGCAACACCTCATGTTTTGTGTACAGCACAAGATTGTAGGGGTCCCCGCCAGAGGCTTCCTGGCAATTTTATTTGCAACCCACAAGGGGAGAGATAAGAGTGGAGTCAGTTAGCAGTCAGAATAAATCAGAAGAGGAATGTATGTGCTAGAAATACATCCATACTGTGGTTAGGTGAAGGCATTACAAGTCTATCGTAAATGTGTTCAACTATAAACTTACAGGTGAGAAGTTAAAACTGTCACTTTTTTCCTCTGCTGCCTGTTTCCTGACAGGGCAGGGGAGGAATACTGACAGCTAGTGAATCTGCATCACAGCTTGAAATGCCTGCTGAGAGGAAACCCCTTTGATCTAAGAAGTTCTCTGGGGCAGGGAGAAAGAGGGGGAGGCCTTGATTTACACAAGAAACAAAGCTTGTTCGTCTAGAGGGCAGGCACTTGGCCTGTGAGACAGGTTGTCTCCGGAGAGGATGCTTTACCTTAGTTCAGGGCGGGGGTGGGGGGGGTGGGAGGGGAGGGTGTTCAGGCGTCTAACAGATTGCCTGGTAGCTATCTGTTCCTTGCTTGTTTTTTAAGGCTTTGTTTGGGGTTGATTCTATCTTAGGAAGTAGCTCAGGGATGGTATTTGCAAAAGGCAGATACCCAAAACAAGTGCTAAAGAGAGGCCTGGAGCCCAGAGGCAAAAGGTTCTGTCTATGTGACTATCCAGATACTTTGAAATGGAGGTTCACACACACATACACATTTTAAAAAAATTATGAGCACAAGGAATTCATAGCAAGGCACAACTGAATATTAAGCTGTGTAACACCAATATTCCCTGCTAATTGACTTCCCACTCAACTGACCCTTGGTCTGGTCAAGGTATAACTTATAATATACAGCTTGACTTTTATTTCATATTCCTGTGGCTTACCACAGTCTATCGTGTTCTCAGGTTTCTGAAATATGGATGTATGTGGTCCTTTTGAACCTGCACAGAGAAGTATATTGCCCTTCGCACTAAAGAATAGTAGCATATTGCCCTTCCCACTAGCATATTCAGTGCTTCGGAAAGAATGCCTATGTACTGTTGACTGTGTTCACATTTTCCAGTCTTCCAGCTTTCTAATAGGTGCTTCATGGTGCAGCATCCCTGATGATGACCACTGTCAGACCCAGCAGCCACATCAGAACTCCAGCTACCCTCTCCTGGGAGGTGCTGGAAACTGCCCACCATTGGTGAGGTACACAGGGAAAGACTTCCACTGTGCAACTGACATCTCCTTTGGTTGTTTTTCTCCAGCAACAGCAGGCAGCACCAGTGGATGAGGCTGGTAGAGAAGCTAGGATCATAGCTGAATTTGACTTTGTGGCCCGCAGCCACAGAGAGGTCAGCATGAAGAAGGGCGATGTCTTAACTCTGCTCAGTTCCATCAACAAGGTAACTTTTCTTAAACTTTCTTACCATCTGCAACATGACTCTTCCACAGCTCTTTCCTGACTCCACTAGATAGTTGGGGTTTGTTTTTTGTTTATTTGTTTGTTTGGGTTTTTGTGGGGGGGGGGTTGCTTTGTTTTCTTTTATCAAGACAGGGTTTCTCTTGTAGTCTTAGCTGTCCTGGAACTCGCTCTGTAGACCAGGATGGCCTCAAACTCACAGAGATCCACCTGCTGTTAGTTATTTTTCAGCACTGTGCTCTTAACCTGAAGGGAATGTCACAAAACGCGACAGAATCAGTTAGTAAGAGTTTTATTAAGATGAAAGGGACAGAGAGTGCACAAGCCTGTAGAAGAGACACGTGTGTGGAGAAGAAGAGCCGGGAACATGGCGCCGGCTTTTAAAGGCTGGGTGGCGTACATGCGTACCCAGGTCAACGTAACCCGCCTGGGCAGATCACATGGCTACGCTGCGCACTCTTACGTAGCCATGCAACATCACGGATCCTGGTCACGTGAGATGCCCTGACTCGGAAATGGCTATCCTGACCTGGAACTGGCTAGGCGGAAGTGTCTGCCGGGCATATGCAAACACGCCCAACCGTGGGGGTGTGTTGTGAACCCTTCACCTACCTCTGCTTCCCAAGTGCTGGGATTAAAGGCTCAGATAGGTGTTTTAACGTTCAACAATTAATCCTTTTTCTCTTATAGTTTAAGTAATATTTTTCTCAAAGTATTGTGCAAGAGAGAAAGATAGATAGATAGATAGATAGATAGATAGATAGATAGATAGATAGATAGATATACCTTTGGGTTTTTTTGAGTTCTAATTAATTTTAGCATTAATAAAACAATGAAGCAAAAAAAAAACTTATGGAGTTAGCTTGAAGATATATAAGGGTTGGGCAACCATATAATTGTTTTTGTATATACAGGACTAAATTGTCCTTTTCTTTTCATATCCTTGCTTGTTCCTCTTCTGTGACAGGATTCCTAGTGAGTAAAACAACATCTTTAGGGTTAGGATAAGCCTGGTGAAAAACAATATGTACCTTGGTCCCAGGCACTTGGAAGGCTGAGGCAGAAGAATCTCTTGAACACAAAAGTTTGAGGTTAGCCTAAGCAGTGTAGAGATATACCCTATTTAAGGAGGAAGGAGAAGGGAAGGGAAGGAAGGAAAGAAGGAAGGACGAAAAGGAATGAGAGAAAGAAAGAAAGAAAGAAAGAAAGAAAGAAAGAAAGAAAGAAGAAAGAAGGAAGGAAGGAAAGTTTATCTTCCAATGACTTGAATTCTTATATGCTTATAAAGTCAGTGTTAAAACAATGAATGGAATTTTATAGTATGTGTTCCTTATAAAAAATTTTGGTGCATCACTACTCTCCTAAAGATATTAATAAGAAAAAAGAAGAATTTTGATTTTTGTTACTATTATTGAAGGTAAGTGAATGCTTCAGAAAGTCAAGATGTTTTCTTATCAGAAAATCTAAGTAGTCCTGCTTCTTCTTTGCCAGGTCACATGTCACAGCTTTTTCTCCAAGAAACGAGTGATTAGTGTGTTAGTACTATAAGAATTTGCATTAATGAATTTCAATGAAATTAATACAGTTTAGTGCTGTTGCGGTAATGCCCGCGCTACTGCCACCCGTTTACCATGCCCAAGCAAGGGGTTGTGGATTAAAAAATAAAGACAAGAAACAGCGAGTCATTCGCCACAGCAGAATGCCAAATGCCGTTTATTGAAGGAGGGAGGAAACCTTAAATACAGGCTTACAGCGCAATGGAGGATCCCCGGAGGGCAGAAGTTCCCTACCCAATGTTCTACATTCTTGCATCTAAGCTGTTTACACCAAATGCAGGATACACAAACTAAGAACCTCCAGTGAGCGAGCGTTCAGGAAGAAGGAAACCAGCAGGGAATCAGCATAGGGAGGACATCTGGTCAAGGTCGGCAAGCAGGCAACAGTTTACTCAATATGGGGAGCCAGGGCCCTACATAGTGCCTTAGAAGTGAGATGTGAGGAATCAGTTGTCACACACTGCTATCAAACGTAGATCCCACCCCCAAGAAGGCAAGCTGATTCCTGAGCAGCAAAGTAGCCCCTCACTGGCTTTCGAGCACTGTGCCCATCTGACATCAGATACTACATTCATTGATTTCATGGGCTGACCTCTACAAATTCTTGCAACTCCTCTTCAATTCTTTCTATAATGCATAGAAATTATGTGCCATCCGTGAGTGATGCTTAGCCCTCATCCGCCAGCTGTTCCTGTTCCTGGGGTCTGTGGTGAAAGCTGAAGACTCTATGGTTTGTGACTTTTTGAAGGATTAAGGAAGGAGTGTGAATCTGTCCTCCCTTTAGGACTGGTGGAAGGTTGAAGCTGATGATCACCAGGGCTTTGTGCCAGCGAACCACGTCAGGAAACTGGCCCACGATGAGCTACCCGGATTCCCACAGCGACGACGAGAAGAGCCAATCAATATTCCCCAGCGCCAGCAGCAGATAGAGAGCCTGTAAGTTCACAGGATGGAGGCTTTGATGGGGATTGGGACATGAAAGGACCTGCTTTCCTCTCATGGCCCTGTCTCTTTCAGTTCCGAGATGTAAATTCATAAGTATTAACCTTCACACAGTTTAGTTCGTATATGAAGAAAGGAAATTCCAGGAGCATTAATTGTCTCAGTGTCAGACACTTTCTGAAGCCATGTCTTCCAACTCATTGGCCAGCTTCCTTCTAAGTCTCCAGACATTCATAAGAATGTTGTATACTCTTTCGTATCTAGCTGGCATGTAAACTTTTTTCACCCATTGATACTTTAAAGGTTCTTTTTTTTTTAAGATTTATTTATTTATTATGTATACAGCATGTATGACTGCATGCCAGAAGAGGGCACCAGATCTCATTACAGATGGTTGTGAGCCACCATGTGGTTGCTGGGAACTGAACTCAGGACCTCTGGAAGAGCAGTCAGTGTGTCCTTAACCTCTGAGCCATCTCTCCAGTCCACTTTAAAGGTTCTTAATTAAAATATTGATACATAATTTCTTTCCCTTTCCCCTCTACCTCCTCCAACTTCTCCATGTCCTCCTACCACCCCTCAAATTGATGGCCTATTTTTCTTTGATTATAGATACACAGATGATAGATGGGCAAATAAATAAAACCTGCTAAATATATTTTTGCTGGGTGTATATGACTTCATGGCTGATCATTTTCTATTGGATAGTCAATGAGGAGGCTTATCCCTGGGAGAGGCTAATTCTTCCTCTCTCAGCTGTCATGAGTTGCTGTAGTTCTTTGTCTAAGGGTATGACTGCATGAGATGTTTTCCCTTCAGAGTTAATATGTCTAATGGTAATGTTCAGGTCTTGTTTAGAAAGCTATTTCTAGAAGATATAGTCTCAGAGAAGGCTTCCTGGTCCTCTGGCTCTTATGATCTTTCTGCCATCTCTTCCAGGATGTTCCCTAAGTCTTGGGTACAGGAGACACTTCAGTTTTTAAATGTAATACTCTTCACCCCTCTGCTCTTCATGTCTGTTTTATTCCCATTTTATTTCTCTTCTTTTTTACTGATCTTATTTTAATTTACTCTTCTTTTCCTTTCCCTCCATTTCTTCCTCTAGTTTTCTCACCCAGGCTCTAATTTTTTATGCTTTCTCTGTTTTTCAACCCATTATTTTCCCACCTTCTCAATTCCTCCACTCAGCTACCATTCCCTCCTGGACCGAGCAGAAGAGCGAAGGCGTCGCCTTCTGCAACGTTACAATGAGTTTCTGCTGGCCTATGAGGCGGGAGACATGCTGGAGTGGATCCAAGAGAAGAAGGCAGAGAATGCCGGGGTGGAACTGGATGATGTCTGGGAGCTGCAGAAGAAGTTTGATGAATTTCAGCGGGTAAGCGAGGGGACTTTGCTTCAATGTCTCTTTTGGAGGTGTTTGTTTTGTATTTGTTAAAAATTCTCCACAGGTTTTGAGACCTCCACAGGTTAATACCCTCAATGGCTGTTAATAACTAGAAAGCAAGGATATCTGAAACTAGACAATTTAACTTTTCAACTTCAGTGCCTGGCTCTCTGAAAATCTGCTAGGGAGTTGAGGGACACACACACACACACACACACACACACACACACACACACACACACACACACACACCCGCCACTGCTGTGATTCTTCAAAATTTGCCCTATGACACACTGTACTGCTGAATCCTAAACTGAGATGGCGTGTCACAGGACTCATGTGGACTCCAAATATGAAGCATCAGTTGAGATGGAAAGAGAAGTGACCTGATTTCACAGTCAGAAAATTACTATTTACCTCCTGAGAACTCTTTCATCAATTTTTCCTCACTCATATTTATTTTATTATCTCAAATAGAACAAAGAATAAATGTGCTTCATCCTGTCTTTTCCTTTTGCTATTTTCCATGTGGCGATATACATATATATTGGCATGTAGACATATACCTGAGGTATAAAATGTTTTGATAATATAAATAAATACATAGAAAATAATTTAAGAAATTTAAGATAAATAGATACACTTCAGACTCTAAATAAATGGTGGTTCTGGTAAACTTTGGATGGCCGTTGAGTATCAGGGTGTTTAAGGGCACAGTGCAGTGGCAAATGAGAGAGCAGCATATATATCACAAATGATATTAGCCATTTGCTTTAGTAACATTTAAGTAAATGTGGGCCCAGGTGGCAGGCACGGCTGGAAGGTCTAGGAATAAGATTTATAGTGCTTTGGATAAATTTTCTTACCCAGGATCTGAAGAGCAATGAACCTCGGCTCAACGATATCAACAAAGTGGCTGACGAATTGCTATTTGAAGATCTCCTAACACCAGAAGGTGCTCATATACGGCAGGTAATCACAGGCTCCCTCCATCCCTCCTCAATGCCAGCTGGGCTCTGGAGTCCTCATTTCAATGAGTCCTCATTGGTTGATTTAGCTTCATATTCCAAAGACCAGAATGGAAAGGCAGTGTGAAACTGGTTGTAGAAAAGGCCAAGGAGAACAGACCAAATAGTCCAGCCGATTTTACTGTTTTAGAGAACTTTAACAAAGCAGATTTACTTAGTGACATTTTTCAAATATCTTCTGTGTTCTTGCACATAATTTTTTTTGGAGTGTGAAGAACAAACATTCTGAGACAATAAATTCCTATTTAGATTCAAGAGGCAGTGTTAGGATGCTTAGTGACTACAGAGCTGTTCCATTGGTAAAGGACTTATTGAACAAATCGTGAAGACCTAATTCTGGATCTCCAGAACACATTTGACAACCAAACACCAAAGAGCGTGGTTTTAGTCCCAGCACTAGGAGAGGGTGGGTGGACATAAAGAGAGTCTCCAGAGCTGCTTGTCTAGTCAAATTGATGAGCTCTGAGTTCAGTGGGAGACCCTGTCTCAAAAAATAAGGTGGGGAGTAACTGAAGAAGACACCCAACATCAACTTGTGGCCTGCAGATGCACATCTATGCATATACATGTGCACATGTATACTCACATGCACACATGCGAAAACACATCACACACACACACACACACATACACACCAAAAAAAAATGAAGTTTAGAAGATATTGCACTGGGCATCAGGAAAGTTGGATTTAGTCTTGGCTTAACCCTATCTATGTGTTCTTTGTAAAAACTGCTGAATTTGAAAGTACCTTGGTGACTGTGTAAAACAATCTCCAAATATCCTTTCAACTTGTATTACTGGGTTCTAACAAATGGATCATGAAATTCCTATCTTATGACCTTACCCCAAATTAGATATTTTGTATTGACGTTTTAAACGATATACAGTTTAACTAGCCTGAAATCTGTAAAAAAAAAAAAAGGGCCTGTACTCACCTACCTCTTACTGCCGACCGCACACTAAAATTTCAGTGCTCAGATGCAAGAAAGCAAAGACAGCACACACAAGAGACTGGTGATGGTGGGGAGATGTAGCAGGAATCTTAACAGTTCTTATTAATAAAAACAAACCTGGAGCCGGGTACTGGGGTGAATGCTGGAAGATCAGAGAAGCAGAACAAGCCACAGCCACCTCACCAAGCCAATTACTCAGCTGATCCTCTTTCCTCAGACTGGAAGCCTCTGAGTCCTCATCCAGAATGAATCTCAGCTGAACTGCTCCTAGAAGCCTAAAAGCTTAACCAGGCTAGTTCCTGGTCCTCACGCCTTATATACCTTTCTGCTTTCTGCCCTCACTTCCTGGGATTAAAGGCTCACTTCTTGGGATTAAAGGCGTGAGTCACCATGCCTGGCTGTTTCCAGTGTGGCTTTAAACTCACAGAGATCCGGATGGATTTCTGCCTCTGAAGTGATAGGATTAAAGGTGTGTGCGCCACCATTTTCTGGCCTCTATATCTAGTGGCTGTTCTGTTCTCTGACCCCAGATAAGTTTATTAGGGTACACAATATTTTGGGGAACACAATACCACAGGAAGAGGCTAGTCAAGAAAGCTTACTAGAAGTGACTGGTTTTGACAAGCATAAATGAAGGAGAATTTAAATGTCTCTTTCATCATTTGTAGAGATAGGGGTGGGGTTCTTCACCTGCATTGTGTTTTGACCTGCAGTTCTATTATAAATTTGACGAGGATTTATTGTAAAGACCAGTCTTGCAGTCTTGGTTTTTATAAACCAGTAAGGATGACTTCACTTCCTCTTTCTTATGGTAGTTTTCCTGAAACTGAACACAGAAGGAAGAGATATAAAAACAGTGTACTTATCCCCTACAGAAAGCAAGCAAGGCATTGTAAGGCTACTTCTGCTTTTGAATTCAAAATGCAGAAAGCTATTTTTTACCTAAATAAATGAGCTAACATCCAACTACCAAGTCAATGCTTTTAACTCATTTTTAGAGGTTCAAATGTGCCCTTGACAATAGGCATTTATACTTGCCCTACGGCTGATGGTCCTACATATAACATCAGTTGGGATGAAAGGAAATCCATTTCTCTGTGGCACTATCTTAAAACTATGCAAGAGTGAAGCAGAGCTATATACATTCTGAAGAGCTACCAGGAGGGCAGGAGGTGACACCCCAACATGAAGCTGTCTGAACTAGCTCTCTGACTAAATCCGTATGTCTACTTCTTTAAGGAGTTGAACACCCGCTGGCATTCCTTGAAGAGGCTGGCCGATGAACAGCATCAGCTGCTAAGCAGTGCCCATGCTGTTGAGATGTTTCACAGGTAAGCACCTTAATGCCTGAATGGTGCTGCTCCACTGCAGCCCCCTCACTGGGCCCTTAAGTCTAGTCACTGTGGTGAAAAAAAGATAGTATATAGCCCTTTTCCTCAAAAAGAGACAGTTTACTAACAGACAGGATTTTTTTATTTTTCAGCAGATTTTCCTCGCCTGACACACTGGATACTCCAAGATAACCAAGTTCAATATTCAATTAGGCATAGCACATACTTTGAAATTTAGATATGATTCTATAACAGAGAATCAAGTTTGGAGTATAAATCGGGCTTAGGTCATTTTGCTCTTGAACTAGAAACAGAAGGTAAACGGCAGCAGATATCATACCTCATATATATATATATATATATATATATAATTTATAAATATATAAATTATATATATATATAATTTATTCTCTCATACAATGCATCCTGACCACAGCCACCCCTCCCTCATCCCCTCCCAGGCCCTCCCACCTCCCTTCTCCCTCAAATCCACTGCTCCACCATTTCCCTTTGAAAAGGAGCAGGTTTTCCAGTGATATCAACCACTCTTAATCTACTCTCACAATCTTTTTAAGATTTGAGAATGCTTCATTCTCAAATTCACATCTATACTAAGAAACACACACACACACACACACACACACACACACACACACACACACACACAAAAACCACTTATAAGTAAATAATGACGCAAACAAAAGAGAAACTGAATAATTTCCTGCAAATGAATGTGGTTTTGAGGATGCAAAGAGAGAACAGAGACATGGATGGGTCTGGCTATTTAGAATGGCTTACATTGCAAAGATGTGAAATGTACTGTTTAATGAAGTGGCTCTGCAGTTAGTGTACCAGGTTCAAACTTGAGCTCCACCATCTGACAATGATAGCATCTTGAGAAATATTTAAACTCCTGTTTTCTGATACATAGAATGGAAATAATAATAATATCTGTGCCTCTAGATCAAAGCAGCCTAAATGCTAGTATATCACAAAGGATGAGAATGATGTTGAAGGTGATGGTGGTGGTGGCCTCCTTGTGAGCCAGCCTTCTACGGCACATTATTACTCCTATATTCTTTACTCTTTTGTGTTCCAGAGAAGCAGATGATATCAAGGAACAGATTGATAAGAAATGTCGGGCTCTTAATGCTGCTGACCTTGGTTCTGACCTGCTCAGTGTCCAGACCCTCCAGAGGCAGCATGAGGTCTTTGAGAGAGACATCATCCCCCTGGGAGAAAAGGTGAGAAATATGTTTTCAATCTTTCTCAATACTTTCTCCAAGTTTATGCCTGTAACAGTCAGTGTGCCTTTCTTTGATTCTCTTGCCAAACCCATTATTCTTATTCGCTTTTTAAATCTAATTTTTGTACACTCTCCCTCCGGAAAAAAATGATATTGAACTTTTACTGTCTAAATGAATAGTTTATATTCCTTTGCCTCCTTAGAGAATGTCAAGTGAACAGACTTGTAGCCAACTGAGAAAACAAATGCCTAGGAGAAAATTGATACTCATAGCCAGTAAAGTCAGACTATGTCTAGATATTGGGAAGTGTTTCCTCAGTCAATAATTAAATAAGATTATTCCCACCTCAAAGCTGAAAAGAGAAGAGGGAAATTTTCCAAATACATTGGAGGCAACCTATAGCTTGGCATCATCATGCAGAGCACAAAGAATATCTTCACATGAAGAGTTAAGGCCCAGGGGGTTGCAGAATTGAAGTATTGCTGAGGAGCAGGGTCACTCGTCTCCTCTTCCCTATAAATTCTTTAAAAAAGAAAACAACAACAACAACAAAAAAAAAAAAAAAACAGCAAAGGCAATTTTTACCAGTTCAGAGAAATACCATGTGGTTATCAGAATACTTCTGTTTATCCAGGTGACCACATTGGGGGAGACAGCTGAGCGTCTCTGTGAGTCCCACCCAGATGCCACTGAGGACCTGCAGAAGCAGAAAACAGAGCTGAATGAGGCCTGGGATACCCTGCAAAGTCTTACAAATGATCGAAAGGAGAGTCTGAATGAGGCCCATAAATTCTTCCTCTTCCTCAGCAAGGCCAGGTAAAGCTCAAAAGGCTGACATTCAACAGGCATGATGGACAGTTTCTACACATTGCCCTGTGTAGAGACCCTACGAATAGCCTGAGTACACATGTTATTCACTGCTGGGTTATGAAGACAATGTCCAAGTGTCATCTCCAGTAAGGCACAGAAAAACCAGGATTAATGCTCGAAGCCCTAAAATACTGTTGCTTTAAGGAATGTGAAGCAAACAGGCCAACTAAGAAAGCTTCTATATAGTACATATTATATACTAGGTGTTGCCAGAAGAGGAGTTTGGGGCATGGGTTTTCTTTCTGCTGGAGGCAGAGAAGAATAAGGATAGCCATGATTGATCCTAATATATTTATTTCTACAGTGATCTAGAGAATTGGATCAAAGCCATTGGTGGCATAATATCATCACCGGAGCTGGCTGAGGACTTAACTGGTACAGAGATCTTGCTGGAGCGACACCAGGTACAGCTACTAACTATGAATGTAAAACTCTCTTCTCACTTCAAAAGTTCCTACAGTCTTCAACCAGCACCTTTCCTACTTTCTCCACAGGCGCATCATGATGACATGAAGGCAGAAGACCCCACTTTCCAGGCCTTACAGGACTTTGGCAAGGAACTTATAGATGGAGACCACCGTAACAGCTATGAAATTGAAAACACACTTTGGGATATTAAATTAAAGAGAGACGAGTTGGAAAAGGGTTGGGAAAACCGCAAGAAGATGCTGGACCAGTGCTTAGAACTTCAGGTATAGCATCTTCTGGATAGTTGAGGTTTTTGCCTCAGTTCCTTGAGAATGGTTTCATATGTTGATTGTAGGCATCCACTGTGTTAAGTTCTGTGAGCTTTAAACACCAGTATCTCTTGATTGTTTCATACTGTACTCTGTGTTGTTAGACTGAGCATCCTTATGTTCTGTGTTCTTGTTCCTGTTAAAAGAGACAAACCAGTGTCTATGAAATGGCTCAGTGGGTAAAGGTATTTGCTGAACAAGCCTGATGACCTGAGTTATATTCCAGAACACATGTAGAGGGGAGAGCTGACACCACTAAGTTGTCCACTGATTTTCACATGCACACCATGGAAACCCCCTCGCCCCCGCCACACACACAACCTCTCTCTCATATACACAGACTTACTACTACTAATAATAATAAAAATAAATGAATGAAATTTTAAAACTAAAAGCTTTTTCAAAAGAGAGAGACAAAGAAGATGGTAGTCAGTCTTGCACATGAATGGGATGATTATCATTGCTTACTATTAAGTAATTAGCTGAAGGATTAGTTTTCATTAAGAACTGCTGTGTGCAGGTCATAGTACTACAAATATCATTAGAGTTTCTTTATATAAGAAGTGCAGATCATTGTAATATAGGAGGTGTTTACTAATAAAATTGAATGAATGAATGATTTGAAGATAAAGAGGAAGGCATGATCACAAAGTTTGAGGGAACTGTATGGAAATATCAGACACATCTACGGATAATATTTGACTGATAACCAGCTGAAAGCTAGACGCATAGAAAATCTCAGAACTTAGATCAGTAGTTCGTGGTTATCTTCAGCTACATACTGAGTTTCATGCCATCCTAGGCTACCTAATACTCTGTCTCAAATTTTAATAGAGAGAGGGGGAAGAGAAGGAGAGAATGCCAGTCAGTAGCTACTAGATGTACCATATAGAGAAAGCATCCTCACATTTACTACATTGACTGTGGTGTATAAAACACATAAAGTATGTTTGAAGCAAAAAGTAAAGTGACAGTATACTTAAGATTCATTAAAAGAATGCTTCATGAGAGACTACAACAGCCCTGGCAAGATGCTTTGTGTCATAACCACTGAAGAGGAATAAGATCATTTCCTTGGCCCATGTAGAATAACCACATGTATGCCTCTGATTTCACCTACTCACCCCCACTACAGTTGTTCCGAGGGAACTGTGAACAGGTCGAGAGCTGGATGGTGGCACGTGAGAATTCCCTGAGGTCAGACGACAGGGACCACTTAAACAGTCTGCAAGCTTTGATGAAGAAACGGGATGATTTGGACAAAGCAATCAAAACCCAGGTAAAAATAAATATAAAAATTCCATTAACAACTACTGTTGGGAGCCATATGGCCTAGTTTCAGATCAGCATATAAACACTTGTCCAATGGATCTCCATGAGGCAAGGCCCTTGGAGATGGTCTCTCACTTGGCCAAGACCAGGGGACCTTGAAACAGCACAGAATACTGCTAGGAACACATGGCCTACACACTCTTATCTCTCATGATATTGGTGATTCTCTTGGATGCTTTTAGTTTCACTTTGTCAGTCACACATGTGACAGATGTCATCATTCCTGGAAACCCCATTTTTTTTTCTCCAGTATTTTCTAAAATTCTTTGGGAACTGATGCTTCTCAGGTTTCTTATAGAGACACTTAGGCATGCAGGACCCTTTTGTAGGATAAGAGAACAGTTAGCGAAATACAAGCTAACTGTATGCAAGAAGTTTACAGCAGATCATCCCTATTTCTATAAATATGCTTTATTAAGTTTCGAATGACATTGTTCTTGAGAATGTGTGCCTAAGTTTATCACCTTTTAGCTTTGTAAGGACAGGATGTGCCTGGCTTAATATTCAGCCAAGCTAACAAAATGCTGAGCATTGTTTTTGGTTTAAAATTTGTTTCTATGTATAAGTTTTGCGGGGGAGGAAATGTATTTGTTTTTAACCAGAGGTTAATCCTGGAGGCTGGAGAAAACATGCTTGTTTTTAAAGTATAAATAAACACAACTCAAGCTATTCGGGGCCAGTCATTTGTGTGAAACTCATCTGGTGGTCAGGCACGGTTCTTTTTCTGCTGGTGTTATGCCCAGATCTCAGGGGCCCCCAAAAGACCACCATGGAGACCGAATCCCGTATGTAAAAGCAAAGAGCCTTTATTTTCAAGCTCCGGGCCTTGGTCTGTCTGTCCCATACAGTGGTGAGAGTGGAGAGCCCTGAGCCCAGGCAGGGTAGGTTTTTTATCATAGCAGAGGTTGGGGGGAGGGGATTTCCAGGGTTCAGGACCCTGATTGACTGACAATTGTCTAGGGGTATCTGTAAAACAAAAATAGATGTGTGCTAGACTCAGGGACATCTGGCCACCTTATCTAATGGTTGGAATGTTTGGGATGTCAGGTCCTTCCCCATTGCTGGGTGGATCCCTGGGTGGTGTCAGCTTATGGCATTTCCTGGATCTGTGTGTTATCTACCAGTAAGCCTGTCACAAAAGCTGTGTCTGGGCCCCTAAGCCTGTCATGGCAGCTGTGTGGTCAAGCTGTTTTGGGGCCACTCCACACTGACACCCCTTCCCAGTCTCAGGGAACCAAGGCTGTGGCTGGACCATGACAAACTATTAGTAGTAATCACAGATACTCTATACCCTTGCCGGGTTTTCTGATTTTTAAGGCATTTTAATTTCCATTTGCTTCTCTTTATGCATTGTTTTATTAGCATGTTAATTATATATACTAGTGAGTTTCCTTATGATACTTCCATGTATGTACACAGTGTTTTGAACATATTCATCTCCTGTTACCTGTCCTTGTCTTCCTCCCACTCCAGCCCTTATCATCCTCTTCCTCTCAACTAGCCCTGATTAATTCTACTTCCATACCTTTTGCCTTTTCCTTTTTAATGGCCCATAAATTTCATTGACTGGAACATGGTATAATTTTGTTTGCAGGAAGAAGAGCCCCTCACCAGTGGCTACACCACAGAAACAGATAACTCTCCTTCACCCACATAACTGTACAAAATTCCCCAGGGAGGAGTGGGGCTTTATCAGCCCTATCTAACACAAATGTCCTTTCTCATATGAGGACCCTTGATTCTGACTTTTGTACATGTGCATTTGTGTGGAAGTGAACATGGATAGAAAGTTGTCTATTGAAGAGGAAGAAAGATTCCTTAAGCACATGTAGGTCACATGTGATGTGAAGTGAAGCAGGAATACGTGTGTGCGTGTGTGTGTGTGTGTGTGTGTGTGTGTGTATGTGTGTGTGTGTGTGTGTGTGTGTGTAAAGCCTTAAAGATATGGAGAAGGTACAGGGATATGGGAGAGAGAAAGGGATGGGGATAAGGGTCAACCAAAACTAAACATGTATAAAGTGGTCATAGGGAAATTTGGTACTTGAAAAACTAATCAAAAAATAAAACGGTATAGTTAGAACGAATGTACCCTGTGTGGGTGGATGGCATTACTCTCAGAAGCCATAGGCTATTAATCCCCAAGTCACTTTTGCTTCTTTGGTAATGATGGGGCAGGAAGGGGAGGTTGACAAACTACATATGAATGACTTTCTCACATGAAGGCCTCCATTATTCCAAAACAGTCTTTAGGACTCCATGTGACTTCATGCTGCTCTATTTCAGCATCTTACACAATGCAGGATTCATCTTCACAACAGCCACAAGGAACGTTTGTTCTATAGGGAAGTTTGTACTATCCCAGCAGAGTAGATGTTTCTCTGTGTGCCAGGAGTTTACTTTTTGATGCTGATACTGTCATCTGAAGAAACAGAAAGACAGACAGACAGACAGACAGACAGACACACACACACACACACACACACACACACACACACACACACACACACAGTTTATCTTTAGGGTGGAGCCTGGCATTATATCAAAGACCTAATCACTAGCCATTTCCTTTTCCCCAGGAAGGGAAGATTGATGACCTAGAGCATGTTGCCACAAGCCTCATAGATGATGACCACTATGCCAAAGAAGAGATTGCTGCTCGTCTCCAGCGTGTGCTAGACAGGTCAGACCTGCAAAGTCCCCTCTCTGCATCAGCATCATGATAAAGAGATACTTTTAAATTCTTGTCCTCTTGATGTGTATTTCTTAGGAGACTTCCTGTTCTAGACTTATAGAATGAAAAGCATGGAAGACAATTCATAGGTTATTTAAACACTGTTGTATGTATGAAAAAGTTAGAGTCTATGAAAGGCCAAGGGTCAGGTTGGAAGATAGAAAATATTATGTATGTGGCATCGAAGCAAAGACTTCCTGGGTAGAAAATGATCTGACCTCATCCTTTAGATGGAAAGCTCTCAAAGAACAGCTGCTTGTTGAACTGGGAAAGCTTGGGGACTATGCTGACCTGAAGCAATTCTATCGTGACCTTGAAGATCTAGAGGAATGGATCAATGAGATGCTGCCCACAGCCTGTGATGAATCTTACAAAGATCCCACTAACATTCAGGCAAGTTCAATATAGAAATCTTGAAAAAATTCACCACTCTCACTGTTGGTTGAAGGGTCACCCTGATACTCAACACTTCCTGTGGTGGTTGGTTTAGTTTTGTTGTTGTTTTGCCGGGAGTATGGGGGGTTGGGGGAGATAGTTGTTTTGTTCCATTAGTCTAATTATGCTTCTCTAGATAAGACTCTAATAATGCTTCTCTAGGTGAGCACCTGATGTAGTTTTTTTTTTTCTTTGCCTTCAGAGGAAATATCTGAAACATCAGGCCTTTGAAAAAGAAGTCAATGGTCGTGCAGAACAGGTGGACGATGTCATCAACCTTGGGAACTCCCTGATTGAGCGGAGAGCGTGTGATGGTGATGAAGAGAACATGAAGGTAAAGTTTGTGCTTAGATAAGTTTGGCTTCCAGAGGCATGTGAAGAGAAGTCCTCCACTCTTTCAGTAGAAATAGAAATACAGTCATACTTCCTGGAATTCCAATGAGGCTTCTGGCTTAACCTTGTCTGTTTGACATTTTTTATCTTTTCTGCCAAGAACCTTTTGGCATTCAGACACCAGTCACTTAACACAGCTCAGCATCCTGGTTTTCAGACTTTTCCTTTCACCTCACCTGCTGTTTTCCCAAATTCAACATGACTAGTTTGGAATGTATGACATTCACATGTCACTATTTCATTTATAGCAAGACCCTCCCCACAATATTCCTTCAAGTTCTTACAGGGCCCATGATTCCAAAGACTGTAATGAGTTCTCACTCTCTTGGAGCTAGGAGCAACTGGACAAGCTAAAGGAAAACTGGGATTATCTCCTCGAGAGAACAATTGACAAAGGGCAGAAACTCAATGAGGCCAGTCGCCAGCAAAGGTTCAACACCAGCATCCGGGACTTTGAGTTCTGGCTTTCAGAGGTAATTGTACCTGAGAATGATGTAAACAGTAGAACTTAATAAATACCTGTTAAGTAACTTAATTTATATTTCAATTGTTTCCTTGACCCTTCTTGGGAAATATCTGATAATGTAGATTGCTAAATCTTATGTGCCTTAAATGCAGTTTTTTCCTAAAATCTTTCCTTCTTGTTTCTCTATTCCCAGGCGGAAGGCTTGTTGGCCATGAAAGATCAGGCCAGAGACTTAACCTCAGCAGGAAACCTACTCAAGAAGCATCAGCTCTTGGAAGCAGAGATGTTGGCTCGAGAGGTAATATGTGGTGGCATCTCACTCCTCTGGACAAGGTGGAAAGAATTCTGACCTCCTATCTTAGGAGAATACTTGAGATGACAGCCTTGAGGTCACTGACCATTTTAGCCAGGTCAAATCCATGGGCTGCAGAGCCATTGTGACAGTCATTATCGATTAGCACTAAAGCATAGGATCTAAGACTCTGGGAAGTGGATCTTGAAAGTTATCTCTATTTATTATTTTACTGGTGCATAAACTTACTACTTTCTGAAACTACAAAGTTGAGCTGTCTTTGAAAGAAAAGACTTTGAAAGAAAAGTTGACTTTATAAAGGAAAGAAAAGAAATAAAACCAAATGGGAGAATGCAATTGTTTGAAGCACATAAGTACATATGTATATCCTGTGGAGGATTCCATTTGCAGCCTAACCTGGGGCAGTACCAAAATTCTGACAGGATTAACTATCAATTGCACACCAGATAATTATATAAAATTAGTTTTACTTAATAATAAAGATATATGTTAAAAGGTCAAAAAGCCAAAGGCTCTCTGGTTTTGATGTGTCAGGATTTTGTAATAGTTCCCTCTACATAATTATTGGGCTGCTCTAGATTGAGCACATGCATGAAAGGCCATGAATGTGTTGTGTGCTCAGCCCAAGAATACTACAAAACAGGGTACTGCTGAGTGTTTTGATCAGTTGGTTAGTAACTATCAATTGCAGCACTGTGAAGACAGTCGTGTGTGGGACAAGTTATTATTCTAGTTGGTGAAAGCAGGAGAGAACATAGGAGGAGGGTTAGGTTAACAAGGAATACATGTGATCTGGAGTAATATAGGCATGATATCTATATTGCTGATGTACCTCTTACCCAACCACATTTGTGTGAAACACTTAATCATGTATATCAATTCAGTGTCTTCAAAAGCAGTCTATTGAACCTAGTCAAGGAAGTAGAACCACTGAAGTCTAGGTCTGTATAACACCATACTCCATTCAGTAAGCATGCTGGGTTTTCTAGGACCCTCTCAAAGATCTGAATAATCTGGCTGAGGAGCTGATCTCCAGTGGAACTTTCAACATTGACCAGATAGAAGAGAAAATGAATGGTGTCAATGAGCGCTTCAACAATGTCCAGAGCTTGGCAGCTGCACACCATGAAAAACTGAAAGAGACCTATGCCTTGTTCCAGTTCTTCCAAGACCTGGATGATGAGGAAGCCTGGATAGAGTATGTATCACCACCTCACTGGGGAACCCACCAAACAGACTCATTTTATGTAATTGATTTGCATGTTGATAATACTTTTAAACCTCTGTCTTAACTGAAAGTAAACGTTGGTTTCACTTTTCACCTTCAGTCGATGCAGGCAGGAAATCAAGTGCAGAGGGAGATAGGAGGAGTAGTTCATCCATACTCTGGGAATAAAATTCAGACACCATACACATTTGTTTTAAATAGTACATTGGATTGTAGGGCATAAATAGCTGACCCTTTGAAGCTTATACAGAAGACCACCACGTTGCCATTATCATTTCCTTTTAAGATTCATTTGTTTTTATACATGTGCATGTGAGTATGTCTGTGTGTATGTGTACTTACATGCAAGTGCCATGGAGGCCAGAAGAGAACATAGGATTCCCTAGAGCTAGAGATGCAGGTGGTTGTTAAGCCTCCTGATGTGAGAGCTAGGATCCAGTTCTCGGCAAGAACAGCAAGTGCCGTTAACCACTGAGCCACTTCTCCATGTTACATAATACATGACACTAAGCAGTCACATTATCTGTCACAGTTTTACTGCTGAGCCCATCCTTTTAAATAGGCCGAGAAATTCTTAACAAATCAATATTTTTTGCCTGCTAAATAGTTACTTTGTTTCTCATCTGCCAATCTGCAGATTCTTACAAGTAACAAATAAATTAGCTGGAAGCATAGTTTATACAGTGTCAAGTTGGACCTTTTAGTAGTCAAAAAATACTATAACCTTTTGGTGTTCAAACATTTCATGTAGTTTGTAGTGATAAAGATCAAACTCAAGACTTTGTACAAACAAGGCAAGTTCTCCACCACTAAGCTATATTCCCAGATATTGTTATTGATATTAATATACAAAAATAATGAAAGTAATATAATTTTTATAGTTTTAAAGAAGGGAATATTAATATATCTTCTAGAGTACCAATGGGAAGGCTGTTACAGCTATATTCATGGTGGATGTTGCTATGTCATTTTAATTCTGTTGATATAAATCAAGTTTTCTGAAATTCTCTTCCACTGCTTCTTTTTGGTGTTGGTTCCTAGATCAGTAAAGGTTTCTATTACTTTGATAAAACACCCTGACCTAAAGCAACTTGGGGAGGAAGAGGTTTATTTCAGCTCACGGTTCAACCGCACTGTCCTTCACCAAAGGAAGGCAGGGCAGGAACTCAAACAGGTCGGGAATCTGGTGGCAGGAGCTGATGGCAGAGACAATGAGCGTGTGCTGCTCATTCTTCATAGCCCACAGAGAACTGGACCTTCCTATATCAGTCAGCAATCAGGAAAATGCACCAAAGGCTTATCCATGGGCCAGTGCTGTAGGAGCATCTTCCCAATTGAGATTCTCTCTTCCCAATGACTCCAGTTTGTTTCAAGTGGACATAAAACTTGCCACCACAGTCGTAGAGTTCATCAGAATCTCCCAGCTTTCACCACGGATGCACTTAGAAAGCTATTCCTCTGTGTTGATCTCAGATATATCTAACCTCTAATTTTTCCATTTTATTCCTGGGTCTCAGGGAGAAGTTGTTACGCGTGAGCTCGAAAGACTATGGAAGGGATCTTCAGAGTGTTCAGAACTTACTGAAGAAACACAAACGCCTAGAGGGAGAGCTGGTGGCCCATGAACCTGCTGTCCAGGTAGGAATCGAATGCCAGACCTAAAAGGGATAGAAATCACCTAAACGCAGTTTTTCACATCATAGTTAGATAAATCAATACAGTAAAATGCAAAAGCAGTGTTCAGACATAGCTATACCTCATTTAGATCATGGGAGTTCTTCTCTTGTGTATATTTTGTATCCTCAGAATAGGAGGTTCTAAACAGGATGCCAAGATCTTCCCTAGAATGATTAATTCTGACACTGATGGACAGTCATTGACAATTGGGATGTGGGTTGAGATGCCTGGAAAAGATAACTCTGGTTCTGAACTGGCAGTACAGTCCCCCTGTGATTGTGAATAACCCACAAGGCAGAATAAAAGGAGTAGCCTACTGGGTTTCCGGGAGGTTTGTCAAAATATTTGGGAAAGCTTAGTGCAGAAGATGTTGCTATAGCTTTCTTCATATTCCCAGGATCCTGGGACCACCTCAAGTCCCAGGAGCACATGGGTTATCTGATGTTAGGAAAGACTAGATCTCTTGCCATGAATTATGACTGACTGAGAGGAGGAGATTATAGAATGATAGAATGTGGAATATGTGTTCTTCAGAATGTGCTGGATACAGCAGAGAGCCTGAAAGACAAGGCTGCTGTAGGGAAAGAGGAGATCCAGGAGCGGCTGACTCAGTTTGTTCAACATTGGGAAAAACTCAAAGAGTTGGCCAAGACCAGGTGAGTTGGACAATAGAAATCCCAGTATGGTTCCTGTGTTTGAAGAACTAGACTGTTGTTTGAAGGATGCTTATGTTGCAGCTCAACATGGCCTACAGACCCTAATCTAGTTTATTAATTCCCACTCAAAAACCAAGTCCTTCATGAACCTTCTTTCTGGTGGCTGTGGAGGCAGACAGTTCTTTCTGGGGAATAAGAGGAATTCACCACAGCTGGAGAGATGGCTCAGCAGTTAAGAACACTTGATGCTCTTGCAGACAACCCAAGCTCAGTTCCCAGCATCCATAACTGGGTGCTTGACAACCATCTGTAATTCCAGTTCCCGGGGATCTAGTGCTGTCTACTGGCCTCCACAGGCACTGGTATACACATCGTGTACCTTCATACTGTCTTAGTTAATATTTCTACTGCTGTCATAAAACAAAGCAACTTGGAGTGCAGAGTTTATTTCGGCGTACAATTCCACATCACATTCCATCACTAAGGGAAGTAAAAGCAGGAACTCAAGCAGCACAGGAACCTGGAGGCAGGAGCTGATTCAGAAGCCATGGAGGGGTGCTGCTTACTAGTTTGCTCCCCGTGGTTGCTCAGCCTGCTTTCTTATAGCGCTTTGGATCTCCAGCCCAGAGTTAGCACTCAGGCATACACACATGCATATAAATTTTAAAAAAGAAATATTTTTTAAAAACAAGTATCTTTTCTGGATTTGCAGTACTTTCATCAGATAAGAGGAAAGATAGCCCTTGACGCAGGGAGCCACTGCCTCACTATGGAGTGTCTACTGCACTGAGACTTTCGTTTGGGTGGGATTTCCTTCATTCATCAAAGTTTCAATGCTATTTCGAAATAAACTTCGAGGGCACTAGTGTCTTCTGCATCACGGGGGATCAGCACCACTGACCAATAGGCATGTAGAGTGTGTTCTTGCCCGGTTAAGCTGTGACTGTCCTGAGAACCAGTGGTTTTCTGGGGTGGGGAAACCTGCTGTAGCTCCACAGTTGACCTGTTCCTTCCTACTCCTGTTGGGCTAACTGCCTTGTCACAGAGGGGCACAGTTGGAAGAGTCTCTTCAGTATCTGCAGTTCATGGAGAACGCAGAGGAAGAGGAAGCCTGGCTGAGCGAAAAAGATGCTACGGTCAGCCGGGGGGATTCTGGAGACACACTGGCTGCTACTCAGGTAAAGAAAAAGCAAAATGGGTCAATTGTGTCATCCCTTTCATTGGAAGCTTCCCTTAAGAATGTGGTGTTTTCACCTGTGAAATTAGAACCCATCTCCTGGGTTAGAGAAATGTGGATGCTTCTGTTAATTTTAGTATGAGAAAACAAGATCTGACTTGTCTCAAGTCATGGAGCCAAACAGGGATGAAAGCAGAATTCAGAGCTGAACCTGTGTGCTGACTGCATAGAAAACATTACAGTGAGAGACCTTTCCTTATAGGTGTGAGTCCTTACAGGGTGTAAATATTTTTTTTAAGATTCTATCAAGTATCAATGTTCCATTAATATGAAAAATTAATAGTCATTTATCTTGAATTGGCTACAGGTCCAAAATACAAAATTTTAGGAAAAGAAGGATTTTAAATGCCTATTAACAGAACAGTTCCACATTTAGAGACATCCTTTTAAGCTATCTTTATTGGGTTTTGTGAATAAAGAAATTAACGAGTTCTATGTGTGCTCTTTAGTTAATGTGCGTTTGGGCAGCTGTGGAGAAAGCCTTCACAGAACAGTAATGTTCTGATGACTCTGAGTCTGTTTCACAGCCTTACATACAGAGACTTTGCTAAGAGCTCTGTGTGGAGATGAATCACTTCTACGTGAGATCATAAAGGAAGACATAGATTTGCAGGAAAACATTTAAATTCTGAAGGCCAAATGTCTCAAATTATTAGCCTTTTATCTAAAACATAATTTGTAACATGCCCTGTACAAGCTCTAACATTTTAATATTTCATATCAAATACTCCCAAAGGCTTCTCTTTTTAAAATTTAAGCTTTATTAATTATTTTTGGGGTTTTGGTTTTGTGAGACAGAGACTCACCATGCAACAGTGGCTGGTCTCAAACTCATGTCAATCTTCTTAACTCAGCCTCCCAAGTGCTTAGAGTGTGACTGTGCAGTATCAAAGCCTTTTATTTTGATAACCAAAGATGTACATGCCTTAGAATTAATAATTCAGAGAAACTATACATCATTTATTGAATATATTCTAATTGTGTTAGTATAATCTAATTAATATAACCTGTTAATATAATCTAATACTAATATATTCACATTTAAAAAGAGCTACAGTATAGTATCAAAATATTCACATTTTCAAGATGGCCATCACAAAATGTCCCCCTCCCCATTTTTCATCTATAACTGTTTCCAATTCTTTTCACCTCAAACTGCTATTCTTGCTGTTTTGGCTGTGAGTCTAGCTTTTAGTAGCTGACTCATCTCTCCAGCTCTTGAATTGATATTCTTAACTCTTTTAACCTTCTGGAAAGAAAGAAAGGAAGGAAGGAAGGAAGGAAGGAAGGAAGGAAGGAGGGAGGGAGGGAGGGAGGGAGGAAGGAAGGAAGGAAGGAAGGAAGGAAGGAGGAAGGAAGGAAGGAAGGAAGGAAAGAAAGAAAGAAATGAGGGAAGGAGGGAGGGAAGGAAGGGAGGGAGGGAGAAAGAAAGAAGATAGATAGATAGATAGATGTATAGATAGATAGATAGATAGATGATAGATAGATAAATAGATGTATAGATAGATAGATAGATGATAGATAGATAAATAGATGTATAGATAGATAGATAGATAGAGATATAGAGAGATATAGATAGATGGGATAGATATATAGATAGATGGTAGTAAGATATAGACATAGACATAGATAGCTCTTTCATCTTGGAAATTAAAAGTAGGGCCTAACACTTACTGGGAATACACTCTATCACAGCTATAATTCCAACCATATTACTTTAATTTTGAGACAAGTTTTCATGAAGTGGCCCAAGTTGGCCTTAAATTCACTGTTAGCCCAGGTAGACCTTCAACAAGTAATCCTCCTGCTTAGCCTCCCAAGTAGCTGGAATTAGAATCTCATGACAGCAGGTCTGGACCTCTTTTACATGTCTATAGTTTTGTCATTTCAAGATGCCTTGAGCACTGTGGTTCACAGCTGCAATCCTGGCTCTTGGGAGGACTGAGGCAAGATAATTATTATGAGTTCAAATCCATCTTAGGCTAGACAGCTGCTGTTTTGATACAACAACAAAAGGATGGAAATGAAACCATAAGCAGAAGAATCACTGACATAAAACAACAGTCAAATAGATGGGAAAACATAGGAGGCAGATATTTGTAACTTTTGAAGAAGTTTGGAGTTTTCATGCAGCATACTTTAGTGATTAGTTCAGGCTGCTGTGTGCAACAAAGTTCATTTATTTTTATCCCTGGGTAGTTTTAATGTAGCAATGTACTACAGCTTAACCACTCCTCTGGGTTGTTGTACTTTCTGTCTGTTTTTAAAAGAGCTGTTGTAAATACTGTTGCACAATTTTTGTGCACACATAAGTGATTATTACTCAGGAGTTGGATTGCTGGACTATGTATATGTTAACGCCTGCTTAGTTTTGCAACAATAAATTAAGCTCAACTGTTTTCCAGTATGGTTGATCATTTAACACTCTTATCACCAATGCATACGTGATACAGTTTCTCCACATGCTCACTAGCATTGTGTTTTCATTATTTTTACTTTATCCCAGTCAGTGGACAATGACACCGTGCTGTGGTTTTAATGTGCATTTCCTTAATAATATTTTTTTGTTTGACATCTACATATTTTCCACTGTGAAATGTCTCTTCACACCTTATATCAATTTCTATACATGATAGCATTTAATATGAGATATGTCATCTTAATAAAACTATACATACACAAAATATTATTGGTGAAGATAGGTACAGTGTATATCAAAACTCTTATCCTCTTTGTTTGATGGAAACTTATGATGGATCGTTAGCAGCAGGTCACTTTCCCTTCCTAGTTCCTGGTAACTGCCATTCTACTCTGTTTCTATGCATTTTGCCCTACAAGTTAAGTCACGCAGAAAGTCTTTAAATAACTGGCTTATCTTATTTGGCATGATTCCACAATGTTTATCTTTGGTCATCATAAGTTATAAAAATTTCTCTCTCATAATTTTATAAAGTGAAACTGTTATATCTTATATGTATATAAAAGTTTGTACTACATTTATGTCTATACATATGACTAACGTTTCTCAATCTTCCTAATGCTGCCACTCTTTAATACAGTTCCTCATTTTGTGATGACCCCTCACCATAAAATTATTTTCATTTCATTGCTATTTCAAAACTGTAATTTTGTTACTATTATGAATCATAATGTAATTATTTGATATGCAGGATCTCTGACATGTGACCCCTGTGAGAGGGTTGTTTGACCCAATCGGGGTCACCACCCACAGGTTGAGAACCACTGCTCTAGACTTTCAGATTTAGTTTTTCACATCTAAAGGTGTGACTTGAGTTGAACACTCCAGTGAGCATACAAGTGCCAATGTCTTTTCAAAACCCCAGTAATATACAATAATTGCACTTCTGGAGGATAATGGACATTATATTTAAATTGTCTTGAACAATCTCAATAACACTTCTTAAAGCAGTTAAGTCTGCATGGCTCCCGTCGCCTTTTGCTTTGGTCAATCACCACCCTCCTAGGCATGAGGTAATGGATAGCCCATTGCGCTTAAATTTCCATTTCCTCCTGATCAGTCATCATGAACAGATGTCTCATGCACCAGTGAGCTGTTCATGTCTTCTTTGAAGAAGTTTCATTCAGATCATTATCCTATTTTTAAATCAAACCGTTGAGCTTTCCTTTTTAATGTTTCTGTCATTTATTTCTCTACTTGCTTATTCCAGGAGTGAATTGAAGCTTTGGAAATTAACCCTTGCAAGATAAACAGTTTGTGTGTTTCTCATCATTCTGCAGGTGGTACTTGAGCTCTGTTGATTGTCCCTGGGCTGTGTAGAGCTTTGGAGTTTGATGCGGTCCTACTTCTCTATTTGTGGCTCCTGTTGTCTGTGATTTTGTTGTAAAACCCATGCAACTATTGCCAAAACAAATGTCTTGAAATTTTCCCTGTATGTGTCCTCTCAGAGAGGGGGGGCATACTTTTCACTATATATACTTAAGTCTTTAAACTATTTTACTTGATTTTTAAAAAACATTATTTAAGACAATGAGCTGATCTATTTCTTATGCAAGGGTAGATACAGGATTTTAAGTACCTTTGAGACTATCCTTACTCAGTGGTATATTTTTGAGACTATTAGAGACTGCATATATATTGTTTTATTTCTATTCTATGCATTTATGCCTTTCTTTATGCCAGTTTCATATTGTTTTCATTACTGCAGTTTTATGACATGCTTTTGAAATCATGACATGAGATCTCCAGTTTTATTCTCCTTTTCAGACTTGGTTTAGCTATTTTTATTCTTCAGTAGTTCCACCTGAATATTAGACTTGATTTTCTTATTTCTGTAAAATATGTCCTAAGAATTTGGATAAGGATTATGTTGAATCTGTAGATCTCTTCATGTGATATGTGGATTTAACAATTTTCATTCTTCTAATCAATGAAAAATGGGAAGTTGATTTATTTACTTGCACTGTTTATTATTTCTTACATCAGCGTTACCTAAATTTCAGTGTATACCTTTTTGATTCCCTTGGTTAAATTTATGGTCAAGAATTTCATTGGTTTCTATGAGATTTATATAAAGAAGAGTTTTTAATTCATCTTTCATGTAGTTCATTATTAATATATAGAAATGGATTGTATTTATGTGTTGACTTCTATTCTGAATTTTTTTCTATTAGATTTATTGGTTTCACAGTTTCTGTGAAGTATAGAGTTTTTAACATGTTACATCATTTGATTCCCAAACAGACTATTTTACTTATTCCTTTCTTATTTAGATCATCTTACTTCTTTTTCCTACTTAATTGCATTGGCTAGTACTCCCAGAATTATGTTGGATAAAAGTATCACAAGTGCATATTTTTATCTTGTTCCTGATTTTAAAGGGAAAGTTTTGATTTTTTTAAAAACTATTTCATATAATATTATCTGTGTACTTTTCATATGTGGAATGTGTTGAGGTAATAGCCTGTTTTTATTATGTCAAGAATTTTTATATTGGAAAAATTGCTGAATTTTGTCAAGTGCTTTTTTGGTACTGATTGAGGTCTGATGTGATTTTTCTTTTCTTCTCTTAATGTGGTGTATCCCATTTGTTAATCTGTATATGCTGGCGCATATCGGCATCTGAGGAGTGAATTCCATTTGTCCTCCTGTAAAAGCCTTTTTATTGCCCAGCATGTTCAGCTGCAAAGCATTTTGTTGAGGAGTCTGCCTCTCAGTTCACCAAGGACATACACAACATTGAATAGATGGATGGATTCCTGGGAATATAAACCTACCAGGAGTAAGTCATTAAGAAATACAAAGTCTGATCAGTAGTCAGAAATCAGAAAATTTCAACACAGCAAAAGCCTCTCAGTTCTTCAAGATCATGAGCCTGTAACTTTCTCTTATTCTGATGTCTTCATCTGACTCTGATAGCCATAAGGCTTTCCTCATAAAAGATAATGGGAAATGTCCTCTTTTCTTAAAGTTTTGAACAGTTTATAAATGGTTGGCATTATTTATTTAAGTGTTTGGTTGAATTAGTCAGTGAAACCATCTGGTCCTAGAATTTGCTGAGCTGAAATTTCTGATTTCTGACTACTGTTCAGACTTGCATTTCTTAATGACTTACTCAAAGTAGGTTTAATTCCAGGAATCTATCCATCTATTCAACATTGTGCATTTTATTTTCATTTAATTGTTGGCAGTTATTTTTGGAGATCCTTTCTCTTTGTGTGGCATCAGTTTTCTTTTATTTATTTATATTTCGGTTTCTAAACATATCATTTGGAAATAGAAGAAAAATGGTAAAAGAACTTTATTTCAAGCAGTATACATGGTATACACACAATTCAAGGTTAACTAAAGCATTCAGTCTTACAACATGAATTACCTTTCAAATCTCCATTACAATTTTTTAAAAAATGATATAAAAACCACAATGTATCCTATATTATTTGAAAATGAATAAGCATGTATTCTGATGCATAGGCACCTGATATCTTGAAATTTATTTTCAAATTAGGATTTAGTAATGGTACAGACATTCTTTTTATTTAATTAGCTTGAGTTATCATGCCACATAGGAAAAGTAAGTATTAATAAGATGCCTGTATGAAAAGACATAGATAGGAGGTGGTGAGGGCTAGCATAAATATTTTTGAGGAAATTTCATAAGGAGATAGAAACACTATTCAGACTCTATCCTCACTTCCCTTTCCATCTTGTGAGCTGCACAAATGGCCTGATTTCCAGAAAATAGGTTTCAACAAAGAAGGTTTGGGATGAGATTCGATGACGCCATGTTCTCCTTAACTCCTTCCTTTAGGAATAGTTCTTAGTTTAGGATGTTCTTAATACTTGATATTTTCTCAAAGATGGAGTGTTTGTAGAGTTGCATGAATCTCAGTGTTGAGAAATCCTCATATTTCACCTCAATCTTTTGATTCCAAGATAAAAAGAGAACAACTCTTAGAGGCACGTGGGAAGTGAGAAACAGTGTCCCTGGATTCCTGCCACTCTTTCCAGTGAGATCACCCTGCTTGGCAGGAAAGAGTTTTTAAGAGGAACTTGATAGAGCTGTTGCAGAGGAAGTGCACCCTCATCTAATTCATTAATTGGCTGGGCCAACTCTGTTGAATAACATACTATGGACTTGTGTGTGGATGGAGGTTGACCATTCTTGAATGAACATCATGATCTTTGCTGATCTGTTCATGCAGAGTTTGCTAAAGAAGCTTGAAGCTTTGGAGAATGACTTTGCTGTGCACCAGACCCGGGTACAAAATGTGTGTGCACAAGGAGAAGAAATTCTTAGTAAGGTGAGTTCTGAAAATGATTGACCCCAATACGGAAACAAGAACAGTGATGAAATTGCCTATAGAAAGTAGTAAAACAGAATTATAGGGAGATTCTTTTGAAATGACATGTCATTGTGTAACTCTTGGATGGCCTAGAGCTTGGTGTGTAGACCAGGCTGGCCTCAAACCAATAGATCTCTACCTCCCCCTTCCTCTGTCTCTTCCTCTGCCTGTCAAGTGTTGGATTTGAAAACCTGCTCAATCATACTCAGCCCATAACACAGAATTTTATTAACCTCTTCAAAGCAGAATTTAGTTGTTTCCTGCAGCAACCCTTTACCCACTCAATTGGTGTTTTCTGAAAATTATTTACAAGTCCTTATATGTTCTTTCATCATTCCACAAAAAATACATTGTTGGCATTTTTGCCCATCTCCATAAATCCTAAAACAAGTTTTGACTATTATATTAGTTAGGGTTTCCATTGAGGAAGAAAGGGTTTATTTCATTGTATGCTTTTAGCTAACAGCCCATCACAGAGGGAATTCCAGGCAGTAACTCAAGCAGGGCAGGAACTTGGAGGCAGAAACTAAAAAAGAGGCCAAGGAGGAATACTGCTTACTGGCTTACTCCCCTTAGCTTTCTTAGTCTGTTTTCTTTTTTTTTTTTTTTTTTTTTTTGGTTTTTTGAGACAGGGTTTCTCTGTGTAGCTTTGCGCCTTTCCTGGAACTCACTTGGTAGTCCAGGCTGGCCTCGAACTCACAGAGATCCGCCTGGCTCTGCCTCCCGAGTGCTGGGATTAAAGGCGTGCGCCACCACCGCCCGGCTATTAGTCTGTTTTCTTATAACACACACAACTGCCTGCTCAAGGGTGGCACTGCCCCCAGTGACCTGGGTCCTCTTACACTAATCATCAATCAATCAAATGCCCACACAAACTTATCCACAGGACGATCTGGATGTGACATTTTCTCAATTCAAATTACCTCTTCCCAAATGACTCTAGCTTGTGTCAAGTTGACATAAAACTAGCCAGTACATCCATAGAGTACCCCAAAAGCCTTAAGTTCATTATCTTCTAGGGCTCTTGTGAAAAGGACCACACAAGAACCTCTTGATTATTTGTGAATCTTTCTTTGCCTGCATTATCTTTTTTTTTTAAGATTTATTTATTTATTTATTTATTTATTTATTTATTTATTTATTTATTATAGCATTCTGTCTTCATGTATGACTTCAGACCAGAAGAGGGCACCAGATCTCATTATGGATGGTTGTGAGCCACCATGTGGTTGCTGGAAATTGAACTCAGGACCACTGCAAGAGCAGCCAGTGCTCTTAACTGCTGAGCCATCTCTCCATCCCCACTTGCATTATCTTTACAAAGCCTCATTGATCTCTAAACAGGGATGACTCTGTCTTCCAAAAACTTCATAAATAAAATCACACTTGAGTAAACAAATATGTCCCAATTGTCCAAATGCTAGAATGGAAATATCATTCTTGAACACATCTGAGGAATGGAATCATTGCAATATACCTAGAGTATACCAGTTAGGTGTTTTGGATAAGAGAATTGAGAGCTTTTTACTGGTGAAAAAGAATCATGTTTCTAGCTCCTCGACTTGTCTGCCTGACTCCTTCTCTCAACCTTGGCATTACAGGAAGAAACTCAAAACAAGGATAAGATTTTCACCAAGATTCAAGTTCTGAATGAAAAGACAACTTCTCTGGCCAAGGCAATAGCTGATTGGAAGTCACAACTGGATGAGGAGCATGCATTCCAGCAGTTTAACTGGAAGGCTGATGTGGTGGAATCATGGATAGGTATGAGATGCTGGGGCCGAGGTCCTTGGTTCAAAGACTACTATTTGAAGAACGGTCTCTGGATTTTATCTTTACCTCTAGAAATGAAGTGAACTACTCATTTTTATTCCTTCTAGACACAATCACACACACACACACACACACACACACACACACACACACACACACACACACACACACAGAGGTATTAGGTAATTAAGTAAATCCACAGAAGAGTTGTTAGGAACTGGTAATTTCATGTATGATATACCTGTTCTGAGAATCAGGAAGCTTTCTCACTGACTACTGCAGATAGCCATCTAATATTCCCTCCTGACTTTCCTTGCTTTCTAGGTGAGAAAGAAGCAAGTCTGAAGACCAAGAGCAATGGTGCAGACCTCACTGCCTTCCTCACACTCCTGGCAAAGCACGTGAGTGAGGGATGCCATGTCAAACGGGGCCAGGGAGGCCAATATTTACCACTTAATTTGTTTATAATTTACATTCTCTCTCTCTCCTCTCCCTTCCAGGCCCATTCCCTGCTATTAAGGTGTATGTGTTTGACATCTTGAATTTTGTCAAAAGTCAGCTTTTGGCCTTTCTAATTTTCTCCATTTGTGCATTTTACTAATTCCTGTAATTCGGCCATTTTGTTATTATAATTAGACGTTCCATGGAGAAACTTAAGGTTGAGGGGATGTCTCAGTGGGTAAAGTGCTTGCTACCCAAACATGAGAACCTGATTTCAGATCCAGCACTAGCTCTGGGAGGCAGAGACAGAAAAATCTTGGGAATTTATGCTGCTGCATTCAACAAGAGAATCCTGTCTCAAAAAAGACAATGTAGGGAAATGAGGAAGACACCTGATGCCAACCTCTACCCTCTGCATGTACACAGACTCACACATATAAACACCCCACACAGACAGAAAACGAGACTTGGACCTTCCAATAAGTGCACAGGTAGCTTGTTTTAAAATGAGTATTTCATTTCAATCATAGTATAATGCTGTTAGTTCAGACAGTACAAGAAATGACAAGGTCACTGGCAAATGAGAAGAGCATGGCAGGAAGGATGAGATCCTAAAGGAAGTGGGAAAGAGACGGGGAGGGGGGGTTGCGGGGACGACGCATATCTTTCCTGAGGACATTGGTTCAAGTGACCTAAGGACCACTTGCTCAGCACTGTCTCTTAAAGAACTCACAGTATCATCACTGCACAGAGGATAAAAAGTTTCACATGGGTGCCTTACCAATATTATATATTTGGATAGCATGCTACTATCCAAAATTTAATTTATTAAATTTTGTTGGAAAGGTGAATCTGTTTTGTTTTTGTTTTGTTTTTTTGTTGTTTTTTTTTTTTTTTTTGGTTTTTCGAGACAGGGTTTCGCTGTGTAGCTTTGCGCCTTTCCTGGAACTCACTTGGTAGCCCAGGCTGGCCTCAAACTCACAGAGATCCGCCTGGCTCTACCTCCCGAGTGGTGGGATTAAAGGTGTGTGCCACCACCGCCCGGCCATTTGAAGCTTTAACACCTGCTCCACCAAACCCTCTACTTTTTGGTCATGAATTAAAAGGATACAAAACATATCCTCTGTGTGAGGACTTGCACACCTCATTCGCTCTTTTTCCTAAGCGCTTTAACTAGAACATCTGCTTGGTAGGTCCTGCAGTCAGCACGCTGACACCACAAGAAACCATACCTAGCATCTGAGGCTCTTACTACTATTTCTGCTTGACTCCGACTCGGACACTGCCTGCTCCTTTTTGGAATCTAAAGTGCCTTAAAAATACAGAAGAATAGTGACTGTACATTCCTGCAGTTCTCTTTCTATATCATCTGCAAAACTGGATGCCCCAATTCCCCAGAATGGCTATTTCTGTCCTTTTAACTGCATGTGATTGCCAAAGGCTCGGAGATGCTTTTCTATGACTGTCTTACCCTGCTCAGCTTATTCTGAGAAGGGAAACGTGGAGTGAATATTGCCATTACTGTAATGCTCTTCCTTTCTCTCAGGCATTGTGGGCCATTCAATTGTAGCTTCTTCAGTTGTAGTCTGATTCCACTTAAACAATAAATGTTTTAACGGTTTTTAAATTGTTCTCAGTGGGTCTGGAGAGTTGCCTCAGCAGTTAAGATTATTGACTACCCTTCCAGAGGACCTGGGTTTGGTTGCCAGCACCCACATGATGGTAACAACTGTCTGAAATTCCACTTCAAAAAGACCTAATGTCTTCTTCAGGTCTCCACAGGCGTACATGCAGATAAAACACCACACACATAAATAACAAAATAGATAAAATGAAATGTTTAATTACTGTCAAAAGGAGAATTAGTCTAATGTGCTGGGCATGGTGGTACACACCTTTAATCCCAGCTCTGGAGAGGCAGAGGCCGAGGCAGAAACAGGCAGAGGCAGGCAGATGAGGGCACATCTCTATGAGTTTGAGGCCAACCTGATCTACATAGTGAGCTCCAGGCCAATGAATGCTACGTAGTGAGAACTTGTAACAAAAAAAGAAAGGGGAAAGAATAGGAGGAAGAAGAGGAGAAGGAGGAGGACGAGGAAGATAGAGCTGTTCTAATGTAAGTCACTTTGTTAAAACTGACCTAGCATTCCTGAAATTTGTGACTTTGATATTAACATTTCTGCAAAAATTTAATTTCTGTAACCAGCATATACCGGGTTTTTGTGAGTTTGTGTATCCAAGGCCCCTAACAGTAGAGTGTAGAGTACACTAGAGTGTAACAATTTAAGTGTGTTATAAGAAGTATTTCATTTTAATTGTAAATATTTTAATTATCATATCATGTTCCATCCCCTTAGCAATTATATCCCTAATATATAATCTATAAAACATACATACACTAGTACTTAACCATAATTCCAAGCTCAAATGTTCATTCTAATCACTAAATTATTTTTTCTTTCCCTTGGACAACATTCTAATCATCTTTTTTAAACATACCCTATCAAGTCGACAATTGTCATTAACCATCACACCATGATAAAAATCTGTTTGGACACAGACAAGAGTGGTCCTTTGGATGCTTCACTGTGCCTATTCATTACTTCTCTTTTGATCTTCTAAGGACACGCTGGATGCCAGTCTTCAGAGCTTCCAGCAAGAACGACTTTCTGAGATCACGGATCTGAAGAACCAGCTGGTGGCTGCTGAGCACAGGCAAAGCAAAGCCATTGAGGAGCGGCATGCAGCCTTGCTGAGGCGCTGGGAGCAGCTGCTGGAGGCCTCTGCGGTCCACAGGCAGAAACTGTTAGAGAAGCAGCTGCCTTTACAGAAGGTGAGAAGGGAGGGAAGGGAAAAAACAGAGTAAGGTGAAAATGAAATGCAATGAAGTAGGATGGGACCTCAATGATCTGGTTGTTAGCCAGAGAATTCAGACACAGTAACTAGAAACCCAATTTGTAAATTTTATAGACATTTCAGGACATAGAAAAAGGTCAACAAAACATTCTTACTGAGCAAAAAGGAATTCATTTTCTTAGAGTGAGTAGAAGCTCTTTTTGTTTTGTTTTCAATGGATTAAGAAACTTGGTAGTTGACCGTAGTTACAGTTGACCTCAGAAGGAAGCCAACCACATACAGTGAGAGAGGTGGATAGAACCAGAGTGTGGAAAGACTTCACACACAAAACTAAAACTGGCAGCGAAGCTGGTCCTGTGCATTTCTCTAACCCGGATAAAATGGTCACTGAAAAAGTACCTGTAAAACATGTTCTCAGTATATCTCCTTCGCTAGGAGGGCATCCTTGAATGAATGTTTTACTTAGTTCTAAAACGTGTGCCTCCCTCTTAAGAAACAGGAAGATATTTTCATCCCCTTCTGCTTTTCTGAGTTCTTATTATTAAATGAGATAATGAATGGAGAAGTGCAGTAGTCTGTGTAGATGTAGGAGACTATAGTGTTCTTTCCAATGGTAGCTTCTGAGGCATATTAAACGATAATCATAAAACATATCAATAATAAAAAGAAGCCAAGCTGAAGGTAGTGGTGTATGCCTAAAATCCCAGATTTCTGACTTAGGCAGTAGCAAAAGGATCAAGAGTTCTAGGCCAGACTGGACTGCATAGCAAGATTCTGTCTAAGAAATTAAAGACTAGTAGTGTATCCCAATGAATAAGTCTGTAGTAGAATACTAGCCTAGAGTACATAAGGCCCTGGGTTTGATCTTCAGCCCCATAGAAAAACTGATTCAGAATGGTCAGTGTTGTTACTATTTCTAGATGAGAGAAACAACTGTACTTGATAATAATTTAAGGCAAGGAGTTCAAAAAATACACAGTCTCAACCCCTAGTTAATTCCTACTCTATTAAAGGATATAGACACAGCAGAAATAAATCTTAAGTGAAAAAAATAAAACAATTATATTGGTAGTTTTCTGCGCATATATACATTCAACATAGAAAGTTACTTGACTTTCTTATTCCATTTTCTTTAATTTTAAATAACAAAACATTTATTTTAAATTTGTATTATAAATATTCAATTAATCTATAACACTTAGTATAACATGAAGTGGCCTATAGATTGTGTTCATTTTCTTTATGTTGATTTATTTTAGCGTATGGATTACTAAAATTAATGTAAGATAGTTCCCTTCTCTATTTGGATGAATTTTCTTCTAACTGGTTTAAATTTGAGAAAGAAAATTCATTTTCATAATTGCTGAGACAAATCATGTGGACAAGTCAATCAGTTGAGTTAAAAACCTGTGGTGTACTTAGTATCTGGAGTCATTCCTTGTCATTTGCTGCCTAGAACTGTCTATGATTTTTCTGTCTCCCAGTCACGTAAGTTCAGAGTCCTTTAAGCATGTGGGTAGCTCTGACCACAGTGTTGGAAAATGTAGTTCATGCACAGGGTGTAGGTCAATGTGTAGAAGATGGGTTTACTCTGTGACTTTTAAAGTTTCAGTTAGGCATCAGATGAGACTACAAGGTTTAGAAAGGAAGGTAGGAAAGTGGCTTGGTGTAGTCAAAGAATAGTCATGGTACGCCATCTACAAAAGCTGAAGGGGAGACAGAGGGAGTAGGTAACGGATAGAACAGAGTTGCTTGGTTTATGTCAGTCATTTTCTTAGATGCTCATTGAATACTTGTTTCTGAGTGTTTCCTGTGCCAGGTAGGACTACAGTGCAGACTTCAGAATAAGAGATAATGTGATTGAAAACTACCATTGCCACCTTCAAATCAAGAAGGTGAAAGAACTTCATGAGCTAGTCACTTTCTTCATCTCTAGACAGGGAACTTAAGGAATTTCACACAGTGAGAAAAGGCTAAACCCTGGCAGTTCCTCTAACTTACATTCATCCCACTAATTTTAGTCCCTGCTAATTTTAGTCTCACTAGTTCAGACTGCTGCTCTGCAAATATTGGAAGACATTATTTTTATCCTCAGTATTCTCTTCTCCTGAGGGATATTATCAGAAGCAATGAGGGTGTCTTTTCTCTGCAGGCTGAGGAGCTATTCATGGAATTTGCACACAAGGCTTCAGCCTTCAACAACTGGTGTGAGAATGCTGAAGAGGACTTGTCAGAACCTGTGCACTGTGTCTCCCTGAATGAGATCCGGCAGCTGCAGAAGGAACACCAGAACTTCTTGGCCTCCCTGGCTGGGGCTCAAGAAGACTTCAACCATTTATTGGCGCTAGACCAACAGATTAAAGCCTTAAATAAGCCATCCAGTCCTTATACCTGGTTAACAGTGGAAGTGCTGGGCAGGATTTGGAAGCACCTGCCTGACATCATTAAGGTATCTTGGGGGGCAACCTAACATCCTGTGCTATAAGAAGCATGACCAGTAAACACATATGAAAGGTGGATGTGTTAGAGGAAAGAGGGGAATGTTGTCATTAATTAGGCTGTGGCAGAAATCAAGAACCAAACTATCTGAGGAAAATTGGAATATATATATATATGTGTGTGTGTGTGTCACATTAGGTGTATCTTATGGTTTCTTGTCTTGTACTTTGTGGGAAATTGAAAAATGATTGAAGGAAGCAAAAGAAGATGAGAAATGATAGATAGATAGATAGATAGATAGATAGATAGATAGATAGATAGATAGACAGAGAGAGAGATGACAGATAGATGATAGATAGATGAAAGATAGGTAGGTAGGTAGATAGATAGATAGTTAGATAGATAGATACATACATACATAATACATATGTACATACATACATACATCGATGTGCACCCATGGAAAACAGGTTAGCATTGGAATAGAAATGTGCACCTATACCTACTAAATAGTTCTTTTATGGTAAACAAAGCCCTTCCATGTGAACCAGCTCTTCTCTTTGTCACTTTGTAGGAGCGGGAGCAGGAGTTGCAGAAAGAAGAGGCCAGGCAGATCAAGAACTTTGAAATGTGCCAGGAGTTTGAGCAGAGTGCCAGTGCCTTCCTTCAGTGGATCCAGGAGACCAGGTATTCTGTGTTCTCTTCAAACCAAGACTCCCCACACATGCTGTTTTAAGTAGGGATGGCATAGGTGGCAGGAGGAAGTGTTAGGTACTCTGTCCCCATCACCATATTTTGACTCTGCCTTATATTTGTATTTAACAACTTTCACAATTCCATATTATGTCCATTATTCTCACCCATCCTTTTTATGTACTTCTTGATATTCATACTTCCCCTCCTATTGTGTACACTTACACTTCAAAACAATAGTCCTGTGACTGCATGCCACATTACACTTTATAAAGTACTTCAACAGCCATTATCATACTTAACTGTCAGAGCGACCTTGAAAAGTGCAGAATGTATCTTATTACCTCTGCTTTCAAGTGCAGAAAGTTCACATAGATAAATTGTCTTATTCAAGGTCACATATGTATTTTTTGAAATGACCAAAATCAGAATGTGCCGTGAGCACCTACTGCGTAGCTATTATGCTGCCTGCCAACTAAAGCCATAACGAGAATGGAGTAGTGTAATATAGCCTAATTTCATTTATTATATGCAAGATGTACGTGAAGATAATGTGTATTACATCTTCTGAGTAAATGACCAGGAAAAGAGGATACATAAAAAGTGTAATATGTTAGAATAAATAGTTAAGGTATGAAGATTATGTCCATTAGGTAGGTCACTAATGTGCTATTTCGAGGTTTAGTGTTGGCTGGATAATCCATAATAATGCTTCTAGAAGAAGAAAAATTGAATTTTATCTAAAACCATACATCTGACTGAGGCTGTAGGAATCAGTCATCCTCCTTTGCCCTGGTTTTGTTTCCTTTATGTAAACCCCGTAATGTATGCTAGAGACTCAGCATACTCATTGCTATGAGTGCTCTTTCTCCCAAAGAGGGGAGCTTCACAAAGTCTCTGAGTTTCCCAGAGTACCAGAGGATTTGAAGTCAGCATGTGGGTGTATGGGTCCTATTTTGTGACCAAAACAGACTTAAAATGTTTCATCAACATGAAGAAATGGAATCATTATTTGTGCTAACATATGTCTTCCCTTTTTTCTCTCTCATGATTCCTGCTCCACTCCATCATGTCCAGGGCTTATTTTCTGGATGGGTCAGTATTTTCTATAATTATGTTTGTTTTCTTATATTGTCCTAGAATAATTAGTTAAGATAACTTTGGGGCAGAGGTATCCTATCTCATCATAATCTGGTAGTTCCTAATTAAAGATGTAGAGCAAGAATAAAAACTCATATTGACTCCTAGCCCTACACTCGTAGTAGGTGGTACCTCTCTCACATGTCTTAAATGTATAGAATAAAACCTTCCTATCCAATGAGAACCATATCTATATGTTCAACAACTATGGACTGAAAATACTCAAAAAACTGTGTCTCTACTGAATATATAAACATATATTTTGTCATCATTCTCTTTAAAGTACCTAACAACTATTTAAATTATATTAGGTATTAAAAGCAATATAGATTACATGGACATACTGTGTGCCACATTTCCATTTTGTAACTGCAGCATCCATTATGTTGGTAACCATAGAGACCCCCAAGGGAGATACCAAGGGAGAGAAGAACTAAGAAAGACGTGTGACACCTTCCTCTAGACACAGAAGAACTAGGATTGGCTTTACTTTCCTTTTTATCTATCTAGAAAGATTGACAGCTAGAAGGCTTGTTTATTAAAATTTGGCTTCATGAAACTTTATTTTATGGATTCTATGTAACTTGAAAGAAGCAGAAACAATGAACTGTAGAGGCTTTAAGCTAATGAGTCTGTGAAATACGGATTTCTGTTACACCAAATAATGTTTTCTTTTGATTCTTAATTAGATCGTTGCTCAAGGAAACCGGAACTCTGGAATCTCAACTTGAAGCAAATAAAGTGAGTAATGTTTGTTCACTAGCTGAAGACACTGCTTGAATTTTAAAAAGCATGGGGAAAACCACATAGAAGCAACCCAGTGATATTTCAGGTAGAGGTTACCTAAGGTCAAGAAACCAAGGTTGTAGTCCTACTCAGATGTCAATTTGCATTGCAACTGTAGACCACCACATTATTGATACAGGCCTCAGCTTAATTAAGTCTTCGCATGTCGGTTTTTGCAACAATGCAACTGAGCTAACGTATACATTAAAGATTGCTGATGCACTTAACCAAAAGAGCAGATGTACATGTTCCTAGCCTATAACCTGTAGCATCAACACATTTCTATTATTTGATGTGGTCAAATGGTATAACTAAATGTAAATCTTCTCTTTCCAACTGAGGGAAGCAGCGAGTTAGAAGAGTATTTCTCAGGCTTGTATACTTTATTGCCTCTTTCCAGGATTAAAAAAAAAATTAGTTAAATATAAATTTTTCTTAATGAGAGAAGAGTAACATGTCAGGCAGAGTTAATCTGCTTTATAACATTGAAGTTTTCACCCATCCCTCAGAGCCACATTGCCCATTGACTCCTCGGTGAACAGTTCCCCCTTGTTGGAATGCTCTGGGAAAATGTAGAAAAATTTTGCATAATGTGCTTGGATGGCAACAGCAGCCCATCATCCCTGATGATGAGGAAGTCTGGGAAGTGGACACACTGAAGGCATTAGATGAGCCAGACAGCTCAGCCCCAGTGAATGATGGGGATAATTCACAGTACAATGACTGGAGCTGGGGGTGTCTGAGTTCCAGGATGACGGACATCATCTCTCGTAGACTTCTTACTGTTTTTTACAAAGGGGTGATTGTGAAAGTACTTTTCCTGAGTCATTCATGTTTCATAGAGAACTATGAAACTTTGAAAATGAACAAATTAGGGAAATTCAGCCTCTTCTCCCATACCTTTTAGGTTGTAACTGGTGGCTTGATTGACTGCCTCTCTTCTTTTTCTTTTTCTAGAGGAAGCAAAAAGAGATCCAGGCAATGAAGCGACATCTGACTAAGATTGAAGACCTGGGGGACAGCATGGAAGAGGCTCTGATCCTTGACATCAAATACAGCACTATTGGACTGGCCCAACAGTGGGATCAGCTGCACCAATTGGGGATGCGAATGCAACACAATCTGGAGCAACAGATCCAGGCCAAGTAATGATGGTTTGAACCCAGGGCAGGGAGAGGTGCAGGTGATGTTAGATGTTGCAGTTTAACTAGGCTGGGCTTAGGACACCTAATAAAGAGATGCTGAGAGATGCTATGCTTACCTACCATACCAATATTCTCTCTTTTCTGTTCCGCCACTGGGCTATTTCTCTTTATACCGGAGTCTACTATGAAATAAGAGATGTACCCCTCCTTGTGTATGTACACATCCTCTTTCTAGACACATGAGTCCTCCATCCAGTTTTCAGGGTCCCTTTAATATGTTATGATCTTTCAGAAACCATTCCCTTTGATAAAATTCTGTTGAAGATATAATATCTAGAATGGAAGGTTCAAACTACAGACTAGTGGCATATAAGGGAAGAAATTAATCTTTCCTAAATAAATTAAACCTATCATAGAAGCTTTCTGTCTCAATAGTCTTTGGAAGTATTTTTTTGTACATTAGAAATTGACAATCACCTTCTGTAAATTACCTCATTATAAATAATTAAGCCTTTTCGAACCATTAAACTTCTGTTGAAGCTTTTCAATTTTTCTAATGTACTGGAAAGCAGCCAAAGAAAATTTGTAGCTGAATGAACATGGCTGTGTTCCAATAAAACTTTATTTGTAGTCATTGAAATTTGAATTTCACCTGTCTTTCATGCTTCATAAAATATTTTTATTGTTTTCAACTATGAAGAAATTTTAAACCATTCTTGGCATATGGGCTGTTTAGAAACAGGAGGAGGCTAGACTCCTGGAGCACATGGCTCCTAGAGCATAGCTTGGCAACCTCTGAACCAGATAGCACAAGTAATACATTGTTCATTAAAATCCTTCTACCTTTCATATGGCAGTCTTTTGAAATTTCCTGTTTTATTTCCAGAGTTAACTCATATTTTTCCTTCCAGGGACACCATAGGTGTGAGTGAAGAGACACTGAAGGAGTTTAGTACCACATATAAGTGAGTATAAGTTCATCGTTGGGTGGTCCTTTTCTTCTAGAAAATTCAGAATAAGTTTACAAATAACGCCTTTCCCCCATGTGTCTTGAAGGGATCTTCAGTGAAGATCTAGTGTAGGTATGTTAATTAACATCAGTATTGGATTTTACTATCTGGTTTTAATAATCTGTGAGATCCCTGGATTTTAAAAGTAAAACGTGCCTTTAAAACAGTGCTCAACTGGTAATTACGTTTGCTCTGTGAATTTAAGCTGTTTCTGAGGGCAGAACTTGAGAGAAGAATATTCAATGCTTTATGTTAGTCCTCCCTTTACTGGGTGTAACAAAACACACAGATCTACAGATAGATTCTCTACTCTATTTTCCAGCAATCTTATGGCATGCATTAAAGATCTAGTCAATACAACAGGACCTGATCTGTTCTGTTCTTACATGGATCTTTCTTGAGCTTGAAAAAATATTTTTGTTTTTCAGACACTTTGATGAGAATTTGACAGGGCGTTTGACTCATAAAGAGTTCCGGTCCTGCCTGAGAGGACTCAATTACTACTTGCCTATGGTAGAGGAAGGTGAACCTGAGCCCAAGTTTGAGAAATTCCTGAATGCTGTGGATCCAGGGAGGTAAGAAGAAGAGGCTAAAGGTTGGGACTTGACTGGAGATTAACATAGAGTGAAACAGTCCATGGAACACAAAATTAACTTGCTTGAAAATAGGTAAATAAGACAATTGGGAAGTTTTATTTGCTTTTGAGATTGGCTCAGAAGTAAATGACACTGTCCCTAACTTAGTCCCAAGAACAACAATTTTCTCAACTGGTGATTATGTTTATTCTGTAAATTTCAGCTGTTTCTGAGAGAGGGACTTGAGAGAAGAATCCTCTCTTGTCCATGAGCTCTTAAGGAGAAATTAGTAATTCAAAGGCCACAGTTTATGGTGGAGTCTTGTGTGCTTGTGGTAGATATTACAGAGCCAAGTAAGTGCAAGGAACTAATTCTTTCTGATTCTAAAGATGGAGGAGGACAAAGGCTATTATCTGGGCTCTTGCACTGATAGGAAATTCCAAAGAAACATGGCTGGTGACCCATATAGGCACTTCTGGAGTCTCAGAGACTGAGTGTGTGTCTGTAAGAGGGTGATAGGGGTCAGAGTGGAAAGCAGAACCCAAGTGTCATAGAGCCTACTTGAAATAGAACTACAGAGGATCTGGCTTCCCCCTGCCCCTGAAACCTGAGATACTGCGCAGGATGGAAGGAATATACTTTCTTGTCTTGAGAAGGCTCAGCTCCTGCTGTTTCTCCTACAGGAAAGGCTATGTTTCTCTGGAGGACTACACATCATTCCTGATTGACAAGGAGTCAGAGAACATCAAGACCTGTGATGACATAGAAAGTGGATTCCAAGCCTTGGCAGAGGGCAAGGCCTATATTACCAAGGAAGACATGAAACAGGTGAGATTCACATTGCTGCTTCTTCTGTGTTGACACTGTCACCTTGGTTTGGGTCATCTTAGCCTTGGCTGTTTCCTCCATAAGCTCCCACACATATACCCACTGTGTTGCCTCAGGCCTCCTTTTTCACAAGGTATCACTTATTTCAGTTAAATCATTTTACCTTGCTCTAGCTCAAAACCCTCTAAAGGTTTAGTACTGACTATTATGGTCAGTTCAAAGTATGCAACTCAATTTTTCAACAATTTATTATCATTTCTACCTAATAAGCCAAATTTTGAAAATAAAAATATCTAAGTTCCAAATGCTCATGGACTATTGAATAGATAATGAAAAAAATGTGATATACATATATATATCATCGTTTTCCATTTTCATATATATATGTGTGTGTGTGTGTGTGTGTGTGTGTGTGTGTGTGTGTGTATGTATATATATATGGCCATAAGAAAAAATATGAACCTTGCAGCAAAATTGATGAATCTAGAAATTATTGTATTAAGTGTGGTAATCAGGACTCAGAAAGGCTAATGCTGAATATTCTTTCTCACACCGGAACACTAAATGGTGATGTTTGTAAGCATGTATGTAAGTTGGGTATGAGTAGGTATAGACCAAGAAACTAGAAAGCGAACTGCAGATAGGAAAAGAGGGTTTGAAGTAGAAGTGGGGACAGACAGAACACAGACAACACATAAACTGCATAGAGGACTGTCGGGATGGAAGGGTACAGGACAAGCAGGAAGGTGGTGGGAAAGAATGGGAGAGGGCGAGATCAATAAAATCGAATTGTGTTTGAAACGCCATAATAAAACATAATACGTCATATATTCATTTTTTTCTCAAAAACCTTTAAAGAAGGGGACATGAAGAAAGACTCAGGTAAAAATTTGAATCGTTTTTAATTCATTGGAACTAATAAATTTATGAGAGAGGAGAGTGATAGGAACAAGGCTGCTTCTCCTGGAGTCCCTCCACCTCCTGTGTTTAGTTAGGACAGGTAGGGAACCCACAGAGACAACTAGTGCTGGATTTCTGTAACTGCATTTTTCTCTTTCCATTCTTTCCAGGCTCTAACCCCAGAACAAGTGTCATTCTGCACCATACACATGCAGCAATATATGGACCCACGGGGTCGAAGCCAACCTGCTGGCTACGACTACGTCGGCTTCACCAATTCATTCTTTGGCAACTGATGAGCAGATTCTTTATGGGACATAGGTCATACTGTGGCCGGAAGTGTTGGGGGATAAGAAGCACAGACAAGTGTGGAAGAAGAAAAGATGATGCTGTGTGTGTGTATTGTGTGTGAGAGAGAGAGAGTTGGTGCATGCGTGTGTGTTTGTGTGTGTTTTACATTTATTGCAGAATCAAAAAATTTTGTCAAGTCTATGGAGATGTTGCAAAGAGACGACAGACAGCGATGGGATTATTTGAATATACCTAGCCTCTAATTTGGGCGCTAAGGTTTTTGTGTGTGTGTGTGTGTGTGTGTGTGTGTGTGTGTGTGTGTGTGTGCTCACGCACATGTATTCTGCGCGCCTTTAGTATTTTTCTGCATTCTGATTATAGAAGTATTTCTTTTTAAAGGGGAAACGTCACTAAAATTGTGCTTCTGCATTTCGGGAACCATATTATTACTAAATACAAGTAGTTAACTGTGCCGTGAAGAAGGACAATGATAAAGTAGTAAATAAAATTCAAGGTGATTTACAATTTGTAGCTTTAGAGTGTGTTTAAATCCTTACAATTTGAAAATTAAAAAAAAAGTGTGTCATCTTATCTTATTCTGTGAAGATAACATATAACCACATAAAGATAACACAAAACTTCTTTTCCTGTTTTCGTATTTCACCATTAGAGTGGATGCTTCTGCTCTCAGAAGGACACAGTCTGGCATATCAGAGCACCTTCTTGTGCTCCAATCCCCGACTGCTCTCCTACATTTTCATATGATACAAATGATGCTTGTGCTTATCCATTTCTGTCTTCTCTTAAGAATCAGGGAAATTGTTCAGAACTTATGAATTAAGGGGAAAATCCAAGAGGATATGGTACTACATCTAGGTATTTTCATGACAGAGATGTTTCTTAGGTAACTTTTTTACCTAATGAATAACATAGCATTTTACACAAAGAGTCCCTCACCCATGAATATTGCCCCTTACTTACTATGCTAAATCTCAGTTCTTCCACTTGAGCAGAAATTAACCCCGTCTTAATTTTTGGAAAAAATCTCATCACGGGAGACAGTTAAAATAATTTTGGTTACAAGCACTAGGCCAACCTCCAGGAGGCCAACTGAAGAGGGGGAGGGAGGAATGTACAATCAAGAGATCGTGATGGGGGAACCCACAGAGACAGCTGACCTGACCTAGTGAGAGCTCACTGACTCTGGACCAACAGCTACGGCGCTGATGATGATGGTTGTGTAGTTTGGTCTGTTTTGGGGCTCCCTAGAAGTGGAATCGGGACCTGTCCCTGGCCCGTAAACTGGCTTTTCGGAACCTATTCCCTAGGTGGGATGCCTCGCTCAGCCTTGATACAGAGGGGAGGAGCTTTATCCTGCCTCAACTTGATACACCATGCTTTGTTGACTCCCATGGGAAGCCTGCCCATTTCTGAATGGAGGTGGAGTGGGGGAGTACACAGGAAGTGGGGGGAGGGAACAGGAAGAGAGAAGGAAGGGGAAACTGTGGTTGGTACGTAAAATAAATGAAAAAATTTAATAGAAAAATAATAATTTTGGTTACAAATAAAGATATTTGAAAATGATATGTAAGTATTTTTATAATATTTGCCCTAGGCCATCAACTACAGTGGAATACAGCAATCAGAACATACCCTGAAAATAGTTGTTTGCCAATATGTAAATCAGTTGCAAATAACCAAAATCTTTACAATGGAGGTGTATGACATAATAGATCATCAAAAATGAGTATAAGCTCCTGTCTTAAAATTGTCATGTCTGACTGAACCAAGCTTGTGGGAACTCATGAACTTTAGACCGACAGCTATGGAACCTGCATGAGACCGGACTAGACCCTCTGCATACGGGGAACAGTTGTATAGCTTTGTCTGTTTGAGGGGTCCCTGGCAGTGAGATCAGGACCTATCCCTGGTGCATGAGCTGGCTTTTTGGACCCCATTACCTATGGTTGGATGCTTTGCTCAGCCTTGATGCAGGGTGGGAGGGGATTGGTCCTGCCTCAACTGAATGTACCAGGCTTTGCTGACTCCCCATGGGAGGCCTTACCCTTTTGGGGGAGAGGATGGGGAGTTAGGGGAGGTTGGGGGGATTAGGAGGAGGGATGGGAGGGGGATCTGTGATTGGTATGTAAAATGAATTAAAAAAAAATCTTAAAGAAAAAAAAATTGTCCTGTCCGCCTACATTCATTTCTCAGGTCACTCATACTTCCATCTCTTTCATACGTCTGGCAGATCTGGAGCTTAGCTTTTCAAAGCTTCCTGCTTCCTTCAGCTTTCAGCCTTCCCCTCTAGAGTGATAGCTGTGACTCTTTCCTTATCCCCTTGCTTCTTATTTTCTCTCATGAAACTCCATCCCCGCTGCTTATAGGTTAATCTTTCTAAGTCTGTTCACAGACTCAGCTCCGTTTACTGTGTCCTGTCTCTCTCTTGGTGAAAGGATCCTACCTGAAGTGAGGTGTTCAACTGATGACCACCCTCAACAACACTCCCCACCTCGGGTTAAAACATTTCTCACCCTCAATCAGCTCTGTTACATATTCACAGTGTCTTATCGCCCAGCTTCTGTTGTTCTGTTATCTTCTCTGAAGGCCCCAGTCAGTTTAGGAAATGTTCCACCCACTCTTTAGGAACAAGGTCATATGCTACCTTAGATATGAAGACTTCACAGCTCCTCACCTAGAGTAACCCCTACCATGGACTAAAAGCCAACATCATTCTCCAGACTGCATTATTAAAAGTGGCAGTTTACATTTATTTAGAAAATGACTGACTCAAGCATATTGATAAATTCTTTATGTATGTACAACATATTTAGTCTCCAACACAAAAGTATGAGATGATAACTATTTTACAAATGAGGGCATTGAGGCTGAAAAAGTTAAGTGACTTACCCAGCTTAGCACAGCTAGTTAAGGAGCTGGTGTTCACACTCCTGCCAGGGCACTGTGGGAGTTCACTTTTATTTATTCCTAACAGTACCCAGCAGAACATATATAGAACACTACAGGTGGAATTTGGAGCAGGCAAAATAAATACTTCTACAGCAAAGTCAGAAAGATAAGAGCTGGCTTGAGGAGTGAGAAGCAAATACAGCAGCAGGGCTTCTGTATGCCTGGCACCCCCAGGACTGTTACATGCTGAGTTTCAGACATTAGAAGAACATTATTGGTCAAATATTCTCATTGTGTAATCATGTCACAACTCTCTACAATGTACCCGGTTCCTGACCTCTTAGTCTTGAACTTAAACACTCCGAAATTCCCTCGTCTTCTTTAGCTCAGTTGGGAAATTTGTAATTATCTTAATGAATTAAGAAAATTCCTATTTCTTATTGAATTTTCACCACTGAGAGTGGCATCTATGAGACTGAAGGTGAATATTAAGATTTTCAGCTCACTGTGGGTTGAGCACAGTCACCAGAGCAGGAAATCCTGGCTTATCCTTTCAGGTATTACAGGAGGACAGGCAGAGGAGGGATGTGGGCTTTGAGGTACAGCAGTTTTGCCAAAATTTTGGAATATTTGGCCCATTAGATTGAATGGTACATTCATTACATGAAAGTACAACTTACTTGCAGTGTGGTAATTAGTAGAAGATATATAATACACAATTTGAGATATATATATATATATATATATATATATATATATGTATATATATATATAATCATGTGTTCCCATATTTGCCTACATGTACTTAGACATATAGAAGTTTATGTGAATTTGAATGTAATGAATGGTTATCCATAACATACACAGACATGTGTAGGGTGGACCTATACATGCTTGCATCTAATGCAGCACATAATTTTCTAAATTTTAGTTACAGCATAAATCAGGGATTCTTTTGTGACTAGGACCTGCTTACACAAAGGAGAGTGTCATTGGACTAGCCTTCATCCTTTACCTAGTAAAGTCCCTCGGAAAGCATTCCTTAGAGCTGACTGCACAGCCCGATTTCTTAAACTATAAACAATAGGATTGAGAAGAGGGGTCGCCACAGTGTAGGTGACAGCAATAAGCTGATCCCTCTCAAGAGAGTAGCTAGCTTTGGGCCTCAAGTACATGAAGGAGGCACAGCCATAGTGAATAACGACCACGGTGAGATGTGAGGCACAAGTAGAGAAAGCTTTCCTCCGCCCCTCAGCAGAAGGGATTCTCAGGATTGCTACCAGAATGTAGGCATAGGAGACAGTAATTAAGAAGAAGGAGACCAAGAGGACCAGAAGACTGAGGATGAGGATTCCCAGCTCACTTAGTCTTGTATCCCCACAGGCAAGGCTTAGCACTGGAGGCGTGTCACAGAAAAAGTGCTGGATTTCATGGGAACCACAGAATGAGAGGCGAAAAATGACTAGTGTCATTCCTAGTCCAAAAAGGTATCCACTCAAGAAGGAGGTGCCAACTAGCTGGGCACAGAGGGTGGGATTCATACGGCTGGCATAGTGTAGTGGGGCACAAATGGCCACATATCTGTCAAAGCCCATGACAGACAGGAGGAAGCAGTTGGTACAAGCCCACGAAGCAGAGAAAAACATCTGGGTAGCACATCCCATAAAGGAGATAGCCTGTCCCCCCATAACCAGGCCAGAGAGCATCCTTGGGATGATGCCCAATGTGTAACAGGTCTCAGAGAAGGACAGGAAGGAGAGGAAGAGATACATGGGCGTGTGCAGATGGCTATCCAGCCTGATCACTATAATGATGAAGACATTGCTGGTGATGGTGACGAGGTACAAAGAGAAGAACAAGACAAACAGCAGAAGTTGAAGCTCCCCAAAGCTAGAGAAGCCCAGGAAGACAAAGCCACTCCAGCAGGTGGTGTTGGTCTGTACCATTCTGAATGATAGTCCTGATGATTCTGTTGACTCCTTCCACCATGCCAGCAGATGTCTAGCCTCTTTAGATGCAGGTGAGAGGGATTCTCTTCTCTGTGTGCCTGTCAGGAATACACACACAAAAGAATCTCTGGTTTATACTGTAATTAAACTTTAGAAAATTATATGCTGCATTAGATACAAGTCATGAATAGGTCCACTCTATACATATCCATGTATGTTATTACATTCAAATTAACATAAACTCCAGTATGTCTAAGTACATGTAGGCAAATATAGGAACACATGATTTTATATAATGCACTCAAACTATGTGTTACACA